AAATGGGAAAAGGACCCACATGTACAAAAATATTCATAGCAACTCTTTTTGTGGTGGCAAAGCATTGGAAATTGAGGGGATGCCCATCAATTGGGGAATGGCTGAGCAAGTTTTGGTATATGAATGTGATGGAATACTATTGTGCTATAAGAAATGATGAGCAGGCTGACTTCAGAAAAACCTGGAAAGACTTGTATGGTCTGATGCTGAGTGAGTTGAGCAGAACCAAAACAACGTTGTACACAATAACAACCACGTTGTGTGATGACTAATATTGATAAACTTAACCCTTCCTGACAATACAAGGATCTAAAACATCTCCAGAGGCCTTGTGATGGAAAATGCTATCCACGTCCAAAGAAAGAACTATGGAAGTTGAATTGCTATTTTTTTTCTCTTCTGTTGAGTTTTGTTTCCTCTTTCTGATGGTTCCTCCTATTGGTTTTAATTTTTACTTACAACATCACTAATGTGAAATACATTTAATATGAATGTAAATGTATAGCGTATATCAGATTGTGTGCCGTATTGGGGAGGCTGGTGGGGAAGAAGGGGGAGAAAAATTTTGAACTCAAAAGCATATGGAAGTGATTATTGATAAATCAAAATAAATTAATAAAAAAAATCTATTCTCTTCCAAAAAAAAAAAGAAATTAAAGGACTAGATTGGAGGCTTGCTAATGGATGGGAGTGAGGAGAAGAAGGGATTGAGTGGCTGGAGTCAGAGCTAGAAATTTGAGTAAAAGGATTCCATTCACAATAATGTGAATTCAATTTAACAAATATTCATTGAGCACATATGAAATTTAAGGTAATGTTCTGCTTGCTGTAGGGAGATTGAAAAATGAATAAGATTTAGTCGTTGCCTTCAAGGAACTTAGAGTCCAGTATACAAATAAAGCAATAACTTAATAAGGCAAATAACCACAAAACAAGGCAGAATATGTTAAATACTATCAAAGAGGTAGAAACAAATATGCACTGGGGAGGGAGAGGTCACATCCAGTTGAGAAATCATGGAAAACATGAAGGAGGTTAACATTTGATCTGAACCTTGAAGGATGGATGGGATTTCAATAGGAAAGCATTTTAGAGAAAAGTGCTTCAAAATTTCAATAGATTCCTGTTCTCATTTTACAGATGAGAAAACTTGTGGAGTGTGTGAGCTGTTGAGGGAGGACTAGCAACTCTCCTGTGATGGCTTGCTGAGCCCTTTTCAAGGCTGCTCATCTACCTTTAGTGTCGACCTGTCAGACAGCTCTCACCTGTGGCTCTGATAAGCATGCACAGCAGCCACACCCTGCTAAAACTATCTTGGCAGACACAGCGCTAAACTAGATTGAGGAAAGCCAACTGGCCTCAAACCAGTTGGTGAATCTCCCATACCTGTAACCCTCTCTGTCCTCCAGTCTGACTAATGACCTCCCTGGCTTCCTTTATGTCCCAATTAAAATCTCATCTTCCACAGGAAGCCTTTCCCCAACTCTCTTTTTATTTGGGGAGGGGGCAATCAGAGTTAAGTGACTTGTCCAGGGTCACATAGTTGGTAAGTGTCTGAGGTCAGATTTGAACTCAGGTCCTCCTGACTCCAGGGCTGGCGGTACCAACCCCTCTTAATTCCAGTGCCTTCCCTCTGTTAATCGTTTGTGTGTGTGTGTGTGTGTGTGTGTGTGTGTGTGTGTCTGTATCTTGCTTTATATATTTATTTATTTATTTATTTATTTTCTTGCGTATATTTGTTTGCGGGCTGTCTCCCTCCCATTAGATTGTGAGCTCCTTGATAGCAAGAACTATCTTTTGCTTCTTTTTGTGTCCTTAGGGATTAGCACAGTGCCTGGTACACAGTAGGTGCTTGATAAGTGTTTATTGTGTGTGTGTATCTTGCTTCATGTATATAGATAGATATTTTATTATTTTGCATATATTTATTTGCATGTTGTCTCTCTCCCATTAGATTGTGAGCTCCTCGATAGCAGGGACTATCTTGCTTTTTGTTGTATCCCTGGTGATTAGCACAGTGCCTGGTACATAGTACGTGCTTAATAAGTGTTTATTGACTGATTGATTCCATCTCTAGATCTATAAGCCTATGAGATAATGCCTTTAATTCAATTAAGTAACAGGGATGCGCTGAAGACTTTTAGGACAGCAATGACATGAGCAAAGTGAGATTTTGGGAGATTCATCTGGGATGCAAACATAAACTAAATTAGAAGGAGTAGGGGAGACAGAAAATAGAGACCAAGTAGGAGATTTTTCTGATAGTGTAGGTAAGGGATAATGGGCATGAGAGCTAGGTGGTAGCGTGGGCATGGAGAGACAATAACAATACTTGACATATTTTGCAGTAAACTACTTTGCAGCATTTTGTGAATGTTTTCACATACAAATCCTGTTAGACCCACAATGGTTGGAGGGAGATAGACTAGGTATCACTACTACCATGTACAAAAATGAGAAAACAAGTTAAAAAAAATTATATGATTCACTTAAGACGACACAGCCCTCTACCAGCCACCTGTCTATGGCAGGGTCAGGAGAGGAGCCCAGTCTTCCTAATTTCTAGACCATTGATCTTCCAACTAAGTTAGAAAGTAGCTGGCTTGGAAAGATGGCCTGGGAGCAGCATCAGCATAGGCACACTAGGTTGGGCTAGTTCACCGACTAGAAATCTGGGGGCCCTCCTTGATGAAGCTTTCCATGATCTCCAGGACCCATGTAAAGTAGCTCAAAAGTTTTCATTGTGTTACATGAAGTGGTGGAAATGTCAAGGAACTGTGGTAAAAAGGAAGGATTTAGTAAGAAGAGCTGAGAAAGGAATGGAGTGAAAGGGGGAAGAAGGGGGGGTGGAGATGACTTCATGCACAACCCAAGCTGGGTCTCATTTTAGGGGTGCAGCCTCCATTCAGACCAATATAGACCAATGTGTCTTTAGCCATCACTGAGAGTTGGGCATATGAGAAACGACTAGAATTTCAACTGGAAAGATTCAGATTTGCTATATGAAAGAAAATCTCTGTACCTGTGAATTAGTGTTCTCTCCTGCAATAGATTTTAAGCTTTCTGAGGCACTGCTGTATGGATATTTGTTAGCAATGACGGATGTGTAAACTATGTATGCAGATTTTATTGCTTCGGGAAGAATCGGTAGAAGCAATGCCGTCCACGATACCGTCGTAACTTCTTCAACACCACTGATGTCTCCATTAAGCTATCCGACCTTGATATCAACAAGCCTGAAGGAGAAGGAGATGGGCAGGCAGATAAACCCACCGGAGCAAACTGAGGAGAACCCCTGGGGAGTGCCCAAGCAAGATCACTAATGTCTCCCCCGGCCCTGCAGACACAGCTTGCTGACGTTCTCACCCTTCAAGGCTTGACTGGAATGCATGTGTTTCCATAAGTAAAAAGGGAGGAAAGGTAAAATGGCTGTTCTGCATTGCTGACAACTGCTCATCGTCCTCGCAAAAATGGGGACACAGGCTAAAGCAGCTGCGGACAGACTTTTCTCTACCTCTGTCATTAGCCGTGGTTGAATCGGCATGGCTAAGCTTGGGACATCTCCACCAGATGGATCTTTTCACCTGATCCTATGATGAAATGCTTGTAGGGAGTGGCACAAACAGGTGATGATTCTTCCTGTAGCAAAATGGCCCTGCATGATGTCAGGGGATTTAAATGTGTTTATTTGCAGAGGGTTAAAGTGATCCTCAAAACTTAAAAAAAAAACCAAAAAACTCTGGCCAAAGTATTCTCCCAGTAGAAAAAGAATCATAAAGAAAGCACTGTTTTTAGAACCATGTATTTGTGTTTTACAGCTGTTATTTACAATGTTTTTGTATTATATGATTTAGATGCTCAACACTGCCCCCTCCTTGCTTATGGAGAAAAAAAAGATTTTATGTTAACTGAATTCTTCTACCACTTATTTTTGAAAAGACTTTCTCTCTCTCTCTCTGTCTCTCTCTCTCTCTCCTACCCCTTTCACCTCATACACTCCCTCCTTTTTTAATTCCCCACCAGTATAACGTGGTGGTGTACACATGGTGGATTAAAATGTCACCTCCTAAACTGATTGGGCTTAATGCTAACTCATCAACACTTTGTTGTATATTTACATTGTTACACAGGCCTCCTTAGTGCTTCATTAATATTATCTTAAAATGCAATGTATGTGGTGCCCCTGTCATATTTGAAATAGCCACTTTGCCTGTCCCTTGCTAGCTGTTTCTTCAGGAATTGGGAATCAATATGTCAGTTCATCTTTTTCTTCCAGGTTTGGGAGCTTTTAGAACTTGATTTTTTTTTATCACTTTTAAACTTTTGAGAGGGAAAAAGAGAGGGGGAAAAAGTCATTCCAAGAATTAGAAATGTGTCTTTCTGGAGGACCTAATTTTTTGTTGCTAAAGTGTAGATTTGTGCTACTGCTTTGATTTTTGGGGGAAAATCCATCTCCCAGTGAATGGATGAAAAAAAGTGAAGAAATGATCCCATCATAATCATGTGGACACTAATCACATAAGTAAAGCCCTGCTGATTGGGGTTTGTTTGTTTATTTTTTTTCTTTTTGGTTTCATTTTGATTTTTAAATTGTTAAGATAAACTGGTGTCTTTTTTTCAGGCCTTAATGGCTCCAGATGTTATTATGCACTTTTTAATGTTTGTAAACTTTTACTAGTAACTAGTGTGATTGCTTTCTGGTATGTAATAATCATCATTACTGAGTTAACAAAACTTCTTTGATACTGTTTATGGCCCTGCTGTGTTTCTACAATACAGATCATGGTGCTTGTCATGGAAGTTTTCTGTGAGATGAGTAACCTTTCTGGTCAGTATTATACAATCATCTATTAGTGGTAATAAGTAATCAGCAGTATGATTCTGGTTCATAAATGACTAGAAAAAATGACAGGCAACTGGAGGTACTGTATCAATAAAAAAATCTATTTAACCTTTAAAAAAAAAAAGAGAGGAGCTGAGAAAGAGTCAAGTAACGCAAAGCCTAAAGTAAGCACCTGAGGAGGCAGCTTGGGGTAAAGGAGAGAGAGCTAATCTTGGAGCCACTAAGACCTGAATCCAAGTCCTGACTCTGACACTGGCCTATGTGTCAAAAACCAAAGCAGTCCCTGCCCTCAAGGAGCTTACATTCTAATGGAGGAAAATAACATATATAGGGGAATGGTAGATAGGGAGGAGTGTCTGGGTTAGGGAAGTCAGGAATGGTGAGTGGAGTCATAGGGCAACTAATTGACTCATCCTTTCTAGGAATGATAATGTTAATTTTACCTCTCCCAGAGGAAAAGAGAGAGCAGTAATGGGGAAGGGCTAGGGAAGAGGGTGCCATATGTGTGCACTGATGGTGTGAAGATAGCCTAGAAGCAGAGAGGGTCTGGGGCAGGCTAGTTATGTTGAATGTTCACTGATCAGATGCCCAGGTGGCTCAGGGTGGGAGCTAGAGCTGAAGCTCCGGGTTTTCAGGGGAGGCTGGAACACAATAATATGGCATGAAGATAGTCTAGATATACATAGCAGCATGGTGAGGTTAGGGCTAGGGCTTTCCTTCATGAAGCGTTGCACCATTTCCAGGAGCCAAATGGAGCTGGTCAGAAGTTCTCATAATGGTGTATGAAGTGAGCCTGGTCCTGTCGGTTGATGAGTTGACAGGCTTTTTCCACGTTCTTGGTCATGCCAGGGGGACCACAGCTGAACACCCCAATCTTCTGCACCTGGGGGTGATTTGGAAGTGAAAGAGACCCACAGGCTTAGGGTTGCAGACTCCCCAGGGAGGAAATGGTTTCCCAGGGTTGATACTATAGTGCAGAGTGAATAGGACCCTGACCCTAGACTTAGAAGTTCTAGTGGGGTGAAGGTGGAGGGTAATGATAGGAATTCCAAACTGGAGACTTCACCCTACACAAATGGGAGCCAAGAAATCTCTATCTGTCTGATGACCATTCAAAGGTGGGGATAGAATGGAGTTTGCCTCCAGGGTTTCAGAGCATGGAGCTAGGGACTCACCTCTGGGTGGACCTCCTGCAGGGAGCTGAAGAAGGGGCCAAAGGGGGGCCGACCAAAGTGGGTGATGGAGCGTAGGCCGGTGAAGAGGCTCCGGTTCAGCACCTTCTGGAAGTGCCGCTCACAGATGTACTAAGAGAAGGAAGGGAGAAACTCAGGCTACACCCAAAGATGGAGCACAGAACCCAAGAAAAAGATGCTGAGGTTGGGCTGAAAAGCAAAGAGTCAGGGTAGGGGAGAGGGATAGAAAAGGAAGCTGGGCCAGAGTCAGGGCTGTGCAGATTGGAACCCCAGCCAGCCCTCACCAACATGGTGGTCCTAAGGTCAAACTTCTCAGCCAGCTGGGTGATGTAGATGTGCACAGACACCAGGTCCTGCCGGTCATTCTCCTCCACCTCCCGGATGATGTCTGCCAGCCACTCAAACTGCCTTTGGGTCCTCGTCACCCAGATGAAGTAGATCTTGGGACACCAAGGTCATGCTCAGGTGATGAATTTGCCACCCAAGGGGATCCCAAGACTAGGCTGCCCCTAATTAGCACCCATGACATCTCTCTCAGGCTCCCCACCAGCCTCCCACAGCGAAAGAGTGAGGCAGGAGGTACCTAGCCAGTAGACGTCAGCAGCAGAGAAACTCTGGGCTGTATATCCCCTCCTTTTCCCCTTGGGGCTTTCTCCTTACTACCCCAATTGAAGGTAAACTCCTTGAGTTTTTTAGTCTTTACGTCCCAAGGAGAGTGCCTGGTACATTGTTAGTGTTTTAAAAATGTTTGTTGAATTGAATTGAAAACTGTAAATTTGCCATGATTGACCAAAGCAGCTACATGTCACCCCAAAACAATATGGCAGAATAATTCTCTCTCTCCTCCTGCCTAGGTGGGACTAGGGAGAGACTCTCACCTTCTTGCAAAGCAGTTGGCTATTCACTGATGACTTGAAGACCAGGTCTTTGAGGATGGAGGCAAAGGGGGTTACTCCAATGCCCCCACCCACCAGCACAGACACCTCAAACTTATGCCACTCTTGATGGCCTTCTCCAAATGGGCCATCCAGGTACAGCTGCCAGGAGGAAGAGGGAGATAAGAAAATTCTGTCTACCCAACCTGCCAGTGAGGCCAGAAATGGGAAAGTGAAAAGGAAGGGGAAGAGAAGACTTAATGTGGGAGTCAATAAGGGCTGGCTTCTAAGAGCACCCCTGTTTCCTCTTTGCCCAACTCAGGACATGCACTATCTTACAACATCTGAAAGTAACAGCTAGAAGTAATCTTTGGGGAATCTGGTACCATTATACCCAGGGTATGCTCAAGGGATCCCGATATTATTTGGCATTTCTGGCCCCCAGAGTCAGGGAGGAGAGGGAGATACCTTAGGATATAATGGAGAGCTGTCGCTTGGTGGAAGTGAGTAGATCTCTCTAAGTCGCGTAGTCCAGGGTCCCACAGCTCTGATGTGCAGACTGAGTGTGTCCTCATGGGGCGCAGAGGTGAGTGTGAAAGGATGGTATTCTGTGGTACCCAGGGACAAACTGGCAATACGTACCCATTGCCCTGATTTGTACTCAAAGCCCTGGGGCCGCTGGAACTGCAGGTAGGTCACACCTGGTAGGAAAGGGAACAGGAAAGAGGACACAGGTTAATACAATCCAACAAACATTGATCAAAGATCTATTATGAACAAGATCAGAAGGCATCCTTAGGAATTCCTCTCATAGATGAATGCTGGCAGTAATCCTTTCCCATTCCTACAACCCATGAGGTTCCTGAGGAGCCAGAGAAATGTCAGGGCAAGAATTGGGAAGTAGGCAGCCATGTTGAGCCGAGGTCACTGGCTCACCCTTTCCTGATTCAATTGACTAATCAACAAATATTTAATTACCTTCTATGTGCCGAGCCCTGTGTGAGGCACTATGAGATACAAAGGCAAAACAGTCCCTTGCCTGGAGGAGCTTACATGTAACAGCATGACCCAAGAGCCCAGCTACTTGACCAATTCCAGAGCTCCTATGCTCCGTGTTCTATCTCTCAGTTCCTCCTCCCACTAGGGTTTATCTCAGACACCAGAGCCTTTTGGTTCTAGATGCTGAGGCCGAGGTACTAGGGCTTGGGGAATCCCAGACTCCTGAGAGGTTGTTGGAGTTTTCTCTGGATCATCTCATCATTTTGTCTATTACCCTACATATGTGTGTGGAGGGGTGGAGGCGATGAAAGGAGGAAAAAAGTGGCCCTGCGTTGTCCCTTTCCTCATAATATATCTTATACGTACCTAGTTATTTCCACCTTGTCTCCCCTATTAAGCTCTTTAAGGGCAGGATTGTTTTTTGCCTTTCTTTGTATCAGACACCTAAGTCTTTACGTTTCCTCGTCTTCTCCACAAGTTAGTTGTCTATCATTTATCAATTTGTCAATTATCTTTCCCCGTCAGAAATTTAAGCCCAATTCCAATAGTGTTTCTACAGGAGACACTCTTCAGGAATGGTGCAGGAGTGAAGGTTGTCTCACAGGGCTCTGTGAATCCATAGGATCTCGATCCCATGGTCCTCCAGCAGTTGGTTTTTATGCCCAGGCAGAGCCCCATACCTGAGGGCAGGAGCTCAGCCTTCAGCACACTGATCTCCACCTTCTTCCGGCTCAAGCTCATCAACTTGTCCCCACAATAGATAATAGCTGGAACCAGGAAGTAAAGGTAGAAACTGGGCAACTGGATCAGGGCAAAACTTCCATGGATGATGAGCTGGAAAAAAAAGCCCATTGGTGAGCTCAGACCCACTGGTATCCCCTGGCTCTGTCCTCTCTCAAGTCTCACCCCTGCCAGGTTGGGTCAAGGCCGATTTCAAGCATGAGGACTGCTGAGTCTAGACTAAGTTTCCACTATGCCCAGAAACTGGAGGTAGCAGATCCCTTTGTCTATTCTCTCCTCCTTTCGGGATACTCATTTCTTTCTCTGATGCCCTGCCTCAATCATGTCACCCCTCACCAGGATGTAGAGCACGATGTAGAGATGATGGGTCAGCCAGAAGGCTTGGAAACTGCGTTGGCGAAAGCGATGGGAGGCGAAGACGTACATGATAGCCAGGACAGCTAGTAGAAGCACTCCTGACATGCCTAGGGAAGTGGAAGGGATGGGTTAGTGGGGGTCAATCCATGGGAGGGAACTTGACCTTACCTCTGTGACTGAGCCTCCATTATTTTGTCCTACTTCAAGTTTAGAGAGAGCCCTCTCCCCCAGGAAATACACTGTCAGCTAGCTTATTCCTCCCAAGGTCCCAGAGCATACTCTGCACAGATAGCCAAATGGACCCTGGGTAGGTCTAGTCTTCAGTCAGCCTGCTTCCACGGAGATGAACAAGTGAGTTTGTGTCCCAAAAAGGAAGGATAGACATTTGAGGATCTCATTAGCTTTCTCCCTTACCATTGCAGACAGGTATACAAACACCAAGAAACACAAGGAGAAAAGAAAACCAGAGAATCACAGAATGTTGAGCTTGAAAAAGATTGTAGAAGTCTACTAGTTCAACCCACTCACTTTACAAATAGTGAAACTGAGGTTCACACGTCTCCCTACCACCTCCTGTTATCAACTCCCTATACCACCCTTCTCCTTACCTGGGACACTCTCAAAGAACCACCAATAGTACGTATGAGGCAGCTGGGACCTGATGGATAAAGAGAGACTGAGCCTCAAATCGTGGAGAGTATTGGCCTCATCCAGCAGAAGGGCTCAGGTCTAGTCATTGCTTCATGAAGTGCCTCCTTCTCCTCAACTCCAAGTACTAAAGCCTGGCTAAACCTCTCATAATGGTGTATGAATGGTGTATACAAAAACCAAAGCAGTCCCTGCCCTCAAGGAGCTTACATTCTAATGGGAGAAAATAACATATATAGGGGAATGGTGGACAGGAAAGGGTGTCTGGGTTAGGGAAGTCAGAAATGGTGAGTGGAGCCATAGGGCAACTGCATCTGCCACAAAGGACTGCCCTTCCCTAGCCTAGAAAGATGCCCATCTCTTCAGGGAAAGAGATAGTGCCTCAACATTCTCTCTCTCTCCCTCCCTCCCCTCCCCCAGACCATTTGCATACCCTACAAGTGGCTTAGAGAGAGAGGGATGGAGTGGAGGGATAATAGGATCAAGTGTGATTGGCCCTACCCCCTAGCTGGTCCAGGTTGAGTGCTGGGGCAGCTCTGTTTAAGAAGAGGCGATAAACTGAAAAGGCTAGACAAACCTGCCAAGCTCCCATGGCTTTCATCTTCTGGTTCCAAAGAGAACCAAAGGAGGGACCTAACTCTGCTCCACAAAAAAACCATTGCTAGCCACTCAGCCCAAAGAGACACAGTTGCTTCTACTTGAAGCAAGAAGTAGTCCCATTGAGTTACTCCTCAAAGGCTTCTTGCCACATTCCCCCAGGGCCCCAGTGACCTCCACAAAGCTGGTTGGACAAGTAAGTAGAGATTCTAGGGCCATTTCTGTTCTCTATCTCCCACCTCCAGAAACTATCAAGAGTACAAGTTATCTCATGGCCCCCTATGGTAATTCCCATTTGACCCTGGGATTTGTCTGTATCTGTACTGACCCGTCATTCACAACGACATGTGGGAAGATGCAGGAGAGCACACTGAGTGGACTGACTGAGAAGATGTAGACGTTTACCACGTGGCCGCAACTGTGCAGGACTGTGAAAGACAGACATAGGGTCACTCTCATATAGAGACATAGGAGGAGAAATGAGACTGAAAAAGTGAAAGAAAGGTACAGCCAGAGAAATAGGAAGACTAAGACAGAAAGAGAGATAGAGAGAGAGAGATATATACAGTAGAGACAGTGGGGAGTAGTAAATAGAGCATTGGTCTTCGTCAGGAAGATCTGGGTTCAAATCCAACCTCAGACACTTACTAGCTGAGTGACTTGGGCATCACTTAACCTTTCTATGCCTCAGTTTCTTCATCTGTAAAATAATGTTGTTGGCTTCAGTGGCTTCTAAGATCATTTCTAGCTCTAAATCTGTAATCCTAAAAAATTCTATGATCTTTTCTCTTTGAGGCTGGCTCCAAGCTAAACACCAAAGTCATCTCAACTTGAGGCAACTTGGGTACCACTTTCCAATCAGAGGCTTGAATGGGGAGTGAAGGAAGAAGAAGGAATGGGGGGGGAGGGTCTGAATGCTTTCATGGGTTACTTACTAGCTAGGATGACAGCTGCCATGGCGATCCAACGGTGGAAGTCCACCGCAGCATCAAAGGGCACGTAGCGATTGATGAAGGTCTCCCGTAAGAAGGTGATGAGGTTGCGGCACATGGTGAGCAGGATGTAGGAGAACATGAAGGAGACACTGGCTGCCGTGCCCCGGGACAAGATGATGCCCACGAGTGTAGTCTGTGAGATGCCCGTGCTTGGTGAGGCAAAGGCATAATCTGAGGGAAAGAGTAGAAGCAGCATTGGAGTGGGAGCATCTGTGTCAAGGCCTTTGGGGTGCAAATCATAGGAGCCCAGAAACATGGGGCTTCTTGGAGGACAGAACTCTGGGATCATAACATCATAGATTTGAAAGGAATTACAGCGAAAGCAAGACTCTTGGGTTTGATTTAGAGTGACATTCCTAAAGATCTAGGTCTGATGATGACACTCTCTTGTTCAAGAAGCCTCAGGGGCCATCTTTGATTCTGAGATCACATCCAAACGTCTCCGTTTGGCATTTACAGCCTTCCACAATCTGATTCCATCCTCCCTTCCCAGTCTTGTTTCCCATCACTCTTCTTCAGACATTCTCTGTACCCACCAAACTAAACTACTGGCTGTTCCTCACACCCAATACTCCATTTTCTCACTCCAAGCTCTCCCCCATGCCTGAAATGTATTCCCCACCTCCCTCACCTCTGCCTCTCAGAATCCCTAATTACCTTCAAAGCTCTGCTCAGATACCACCTCCTCCATGTGATCTTTCTTATTCTTTTAGCTGCTAGTGCCTCTCCTTCCCCCACTCAGAAAAAACTACCCTGTATTTGTGTGATTTTAATAAATATATATATATACATATATACACACACATATGTATGTATATTTGTATATACTTAACTGTGTACATACTGTTTCCTCAGAATGTAAAATCCTTGAGGGCCGGGAACGTTTCATTTTTATGTTTGGATCTCTAGGACCTAGCTTAGTGCTTAGTCTACTAGGTATTTAATAAATGCTTACTGACTGATTCCTATTTGACTGTGTCAGATTAAATGGATTGGAGGGCTCTTATTTCTCTCCGTAGTGCCTTATTCTCATGGAGAGACTCTTTTTCTTGGATCAGGGCTGCTGCCAATTCCTTCTCCCCTCCCCCAATGTCCAGACCCCGGGGAAACTTACAGTAAGCCTGCATGGTAAACACCCCAGCAGAGATGGCAGAGAAGATAGCCACGCAGACGATATGTCGACGATAGTTCTCCACAAAGCGCTTGAACTGCTGGAGCTTCTGAGAGAGTTTACCTCTTTGAAGTTTTTCCCTCTGGGCCTCTGTATATAGCCGTGGAGTATAAGTGTGTGCCCTAGGAGAACGATAATCAGTCAATCAACCAATTCCTAGGCAAAAAATGATTCGAAGACCAAAATAAAACAGGCCCTTCCTTCAAGGAGCTTACAATGTATCCGGGGAGACAACATTTACATATGGAAGTAAATATAAAATAAATTCTTTGTTAGAAAGGTTAACTCTCTGGGAAGTGGTAGGAATGGGGAAAATCTGGCAGGTATAAAAATAAAAGATATCAATTAAAATGTTCTTAAAAGTAAATATATAAAATAAACACAAGATATTTTGAGGGCAAAGGGAATGCACTAGCAGTTGAAGGGAGATCAGGAAAGGCCTCATATAGGAGGTAGTGCTTGAACTGAGCTTTGAAAGACACTTAGGATTCCTAGAAGCAAAGAGAGATGAGGAGGAAGAACCCTCCAGGCATGGAGACCTCTTTCCCCCACCTCTACCTCCAAGGCAGGGAAAACATGACATAACCCCGTAAATGGGAAGGAGGCTGCCCTGATCTCATACTAACTCCACTTTCACTTTGTTTCCTGTGCGCATCAACTTGAGGAGAGGTTTTCAGGGACTGAGGGAAGGTTAAAGCAAGGAGAAAAGTTTCAGCTTAATTTTTTCAGGCTGGCTGCTATCTTTCTATCTCCCAGTATACCGCAAGCCCCCACCCCATTCTACAGGTTACTCCATCTAGTTTCAGATCCTTAGTCCTTTCTTTGCTCATCTACTTAAAATATCCAGGAGACAGGTGACTTTCCTAGCATCCCTCCCTTTCTCTTCTCCACATGCACATGCTCCTTGACACTACTCCCTTTCCCAAAGATTTGGGAGCCTAGGCATTCCTTGATCCGAGAATTGACATTGTAACTGACTTTTGAGATGGATGCCTTTGGAAGTATTTGGTTAGGAGAGGCCATCTCAAAAGCTGGTTACAACAGAAAAATTAGAGTTTAGGTAGTCACTTGACCCCTTTCCTGGGGATCAATCCCCAAAGAGAGGGGTCAGGTCTCAGAGGCTCATGAGCTCTGTCTCCAGCTGAAGGTTCCAAGACTTACTTCTTGCCAAATCTCTTCCTCATACCAGCGCTGCCAGGCTCTGAGGTCTCTGAGGTCTCTGAGGACAGAATCTCAACTCCATTGGAGTAAATGCTGTGAAAAGAGCAAAAGGGTATATTTTCTTTGTTTGCATTTAAGAGACCCCAGCAAAAAAAAAAAAAAAAAAAAGAGAGAGGAACCCCAGTGGATTAGGGTAGAGGTACAGGGAGGAGGAGGAGGGATAATCTTTCATCAGCATCTCTTTGCAGAAATTAGGAAATGAGACAGATAGTATATAAATAAATTAAGAACCCTGCTCCTTTTCCCTCTGATAGTCCCCTTCATTTTTTTGGTCCTACAATAGTGAAAGGGAGAGAAATCTAACATCCTGAAGGGAGGGGCAGCTAGGTTGTGCAGTGGATAGAGCACCAGCCTTGGAGTCAGGAGGACCTGAGTTTAAATCTGGCCTCAGATACTTACTAGCTGTGTGACTCTGGGCAAGTCACTTCACCCCGATTTCCTCCAACAGAGAAAGAGAGAGAGAGAGAGAGAGAGAGAGAGAGAGAGAGAGAGAGAGACTGGGGGGAATGGGAGTGGTATGCTGGAAAATATTTCACAACCAGTTCTCCAGGGAAAAATTGTAGCGTTTAACTTTAAACTACATTGATCTTTCTCTATCCCTTTCCTTGGTCTAAACAATCAACAAAACAATAAACCAAGCCCTGATTTGTAGTTTGCTGATTTCCTCTGTGTAAATGCTCATATTGAACATTTAACAATTGGCTCTCAGTGTCAGTTAGAGCTGGCTCCAGCACATCCCTGGCAGATGAGTGAGGATGGAAGCAGACAGCCTTGCATTTAGACCTGGAAACAGTATGGAGTAATGAAAAGAGTTCTAGGCTTAGATTCTTAAAATCTAACTACTGTTCAGATTCTTATAATCTAGCCAACAGCTCACTAACATTCAGACTCCTTAAGAGTCTGCCCAATATGATGGATGTTCTAATAAACCTTGTCTTTGGCTGAAAGAAGGCTTGGGTAGAATTATTTCGGGCAGGCCCAGCGTGTTGTGATTTTGGGGTCCCACTCAACATTTTGGTGGTCCGTACAAGGAAGCTACCTAACCCCAAGTTCTCTAGCCAAGACTGGAAGGTATGTAAGCCTCCCCCCGCTTTCATGTTCTGCAGTTGGGGTTGCTCTCCAAGCACCAAGGCTTTGGAGGTACTTTTCAGGCAGATAGTTACAAGGCTGTGTATGCCCAATTCTGTCAGTTCTCTCGGTGCTAAGGAATTGGGAAAAATTGAAGTTGCTTTTTGGTTCCCTGAGGCTTACTTACTCCCCTCTACACTTTTGAATCCTCCTTCAAGGAGGTTACAGGGAAAAGTTAGAACAGCTAAAAATATCTTGGCAGATTCTAGAGGTTTTGTGATTGATCATTAAGGAGTTTTGAAACTCCTCCTTACAACCCTGGTCACTCCTTTTTCCCATTCCCTTCCCTTGAGTCAAGAAGGTATCTGTTAACCCCTCTCTTAGGAGAAGAGAGTTTCACCCTTTACCCTTCACCTTTGATTTTCCCTCCCCGACCTGGGAAAAGGATGGGGGAGGGGCAGCAGCTACAGCATGGGCCCCACTGGCAATGGCCTTGGGCTCTAGGGCAACCTTTGCCTAAAAGCATCACTCAGGTTCAGCACATCCTACTCAAGGTAAAGAAGCTATTCTCCAAACTTGGGTAAGCATGCGCTTTTAAAGTTGTAGCTTTAACTGTTAATGATGAGATGTTGATTCTCTCTGTAAAGTAAACTGGAAATGCATTTAACAAAACTGAAGTTACCTGATTGGTAATGGGTTTGTTTCAAGTTTCAAATTGGTGAACTTTTTCTATCAGTTATGTCAAGCAACTTTTCATAATGTGGTTACTGCTAAAATAATTTGGCTATAGTTGGTTATTGTTTTAATGTGTAAGCTTGCCAAAAAGCTTGTTTGGGGGAATCTCTAAAGCTTGGCTTTTTATACCAGGACAAATTCAAGTTTGAGATGTAAATCCTGGAAAAGTTTTTCCTAAGCTGTGATTAATGAAACTTGCTGTTTGAGGTAAAAGGTCCTAGGATTTTATTTTGAATTGTCTGATGGATCATAATCCATTGATAATAAACAATCCACCACCTGAGAGAAATGCCACAAGCTACTCAGAGAATGTTATACTGGTGGGAAGTCAGCATTGGGAAAAGCTGAGAGGACAATTTTAGCCTCAGTCTGAGATGGGATCCTCCTGGCTCAGTTTCTCTATTATGTTCGTTTGAAAGGGAATGTTACCCACCTGGCTATTCCTGAGTCTGGCTATGAGGTGGATTTGATACTGCATGGTTGGAAAATTGAATTATCTGAATCCATGTTGGAAAATTGAATTATCTGAATCCAAACAGAGCTAAGGATGTTTTATCCTGTCATAGCTGGGCCCTGCAGTTCTTTTTCTGCCAAATTTGTGTACAGGCCATTCACCTACAGTTGGTAGCAAACAGGGAGTACCAGCCAATGTCCCCCCATCATTCCCTGGATGCAGCCTGTGCTCTGTTCCAGTCAACCTCCTCTTTGGGACCCCCTCAAGGCAGGGAAAGCTCTACACCCCTTGCCAGCAGGAAGCAGTTTCAGAAGCCACGACCTTTTACCCTTACCCCAAAAGAATTTGGGTCCCATTTGTTTGAGGAGGGAATGATGGGGTTGGGATCTGGACCCCAGAAAGAAAAAATCCTGGACTTTCCCACCTGGCCAAATCTCTGGCATTCACCTGAGACCATAATTCCATGAATTAGCCTTTCATTGTGGCTACACTCAATCTCCCAATTTCTGTTACCTTTAACCTAGCCTAGCCCTCCCTATGGCCCCCTGCCATGTCCCATACTTAATCCTAGGTAGGCTCCACTGTCCAAGTCCCAGGAGTTCTGTTCACCCCAGCTTACTGACCACTCCCATTCAGATCTTCCTTAAACCCCTCCTCCAGTTACCTCAAACTACTTGGCCACTCCTAGATCCCTCCCACAGTTTTTCTGCATATAAGGTCCATCTTGTCTCCATTAAGGTGCTTAGAGTCTTAAAGTCTAGCCACTGCTCAGATTCTTGGAATCTAGCCAATACCTCACAGACTCTCAGATCCCTCAAGAATCTGGCAATATGGCAGTTCTTTAATAAACCTTGTCTTTGGCTAAAAAAAAAGAAGAGTTCTAGAGTTGGAATCAAGAAGTCTAGGCTTGAATTCTGCCACCTGTGTGATCCTTTTTAGTGCTGTTAGAGCTAGAAGAGGTCTGAGAGAGAACACGGTCCAACCTTCTCATTTTATATATGAGGAAACAGGAAACATCAGGCACAAGTGGGAGAGCTAAGATTTAAATTCAAGCCCTTTGTGTCTCCAAAGCCAGTGCTTTTGATACTCTACCACCCTGCCTTAACCTCAAGCAAGCCATTTACCATCTCTCAATGATCAAGAATGTCATTCCTTTCCAGCTATAGATCCTATGGATTAAGGCGATGTGGTGGGAGGAGGGGGGGTACCAGAAAAGGGGTATCAAACTGCTGCTGGCTTAGGGGTTAATTTAGCAGTCTCCACTTTGCTATACAATGAAGAAAGTGGAGGTGGTAGCTCAGGAAAGGTCATGGGGCCCAACTGTAATGTCTCAGAGCCCTGGTCCCTGCTCACCCTCCTGTCCGGTTTTTGTCGATGAAGGAGACTCGGTTGCTGATATTCTGCTTAAAGATATCTGGAACACCTGGGGAGGAAAACAAGCAGATAAACAAGTTTCCTTAGGGTCTCTGACCCAGATAGACTAGGCAAGGTGGCCAGGGAACAAAATTTCTCTCTCATGTCCCAATCTACAGTACTCCTTGATTTTCTTCCCCTCTTTTATTTTTTAATAATAATATTTTATGTTTTCCCCAATTATACACTCCTTGGCATTTTTCCTGGTGCTCTTCTGGGGTAGATGGTTTTCTAATGATAATAATGATGATGGTTGGGGTTTTTTTTATGGTGCTTTATAGTTTGTAGAGCACTTTAATATTTAATGTTAATAATATTAAAAATTAATCATTTTAATTTTAGCTCATTGGAACTCAAAACTTTTTTAAATGTTAAAAATGGTTTTAACATGTAACATTATATAAATATAATATTTATAATAAATATTAAATAATAAAATAATATATATTTTTAAAATAATAATATTAGCTCATTTGATCCTCATAATTTTGTGGGGTGGGTACTATTATTATTTCCACTTTACAGATAAAGCAACTGAGGCCAAAAGTGGTTGGCACCTTCTTTGGGCCACACAACTAGTAAGTATCCATAAGTAAGTGGATAAAGCAGCATTAGAACTCATGTTCTCTTGACTCAAAGTACAGCAATCTATCCACCTAGCTGCCTTCTATGTTGCTTAAAACCTGGCCACGTTTGAATTGCTTATTCTAGAGCAAGAATTCTTAACTTGGGTACCAGGAACATTTTGGTAACTTTAAAAATATAATTGGTTTCCTTTGCCATCGTGCGTATTTTATTTGATGCATTTTATTTGAGACATGAATCCTGAGAAGGGCTCCATAGACTTCACCAGACTGCCCAAAGGGTGCAGCACACAAATAAAGGTTAAGAACCTGTGTTCTAGAGAGTTGAACTGCAACCTGTCATTTCTATCCCCAACTACTTGTGATCTATGCCAAAGTTTTCTCTCTTAGGCTTTGACTTGCCCTATAAACGTCTTACCAGTCACTTCCTCAATGATTCTCCCTGGTGTTGCTCCCAATGTCACATAGTTAAAGTGGAAGAGATGAAATTTGAACCCAGCCTTCCCACTTCAAATCCAATATTTCTTCTGCACCATGCTAGATAACACACACATACATATATGTGTATGTCTGCATATATACATATATGTACACATACAAGACTATATAAGTGTATATATGTATATGTGTCTGCATATATAATATATACAAGACTATATACATGTGTGTGCTTATATGTGTATATACATATATATGTATATATATGTATATACAAGAGTCTGGTGTATGCATACATGTGTGTATACATACGCTCACACACATACCCACACACAAGAGAGATCTCAGTTACATTCTTGACCATTTCCTCCTTGGGTCTCTTTTCCTGAAAGGGTGGACAGAGTGCCAGGACTGGAGTCAGGAAGATCTTAATTCAAATCTGGCCTCAGACACTTACTAGGTCTGTGACCTGGGCAGGTCACTTAACCTCTCTGCCTCAGTTTCCTCATCTGTAAAATGGAGATAATAAAAGCACCTACCCCCTAGGATTATTGTGAAGGTCAAATGAGATAATAATTGTTAAGCACTAAGCATAGTCTCCGGCACATAGTAATTCCATATAAATGTTAGCTATTATTATTATTTTTATTATTATTCCTTCTGCTCCATTCCCTCTTCATCCTCTACCTTTGACACAAAGCTGGGTGAGGCGGAGGTCGCTGTCATGGTCCCTCAGCATGAAGTGGAAATCCTCCCAGGTCAGCTCCTCCTTGTTTTGGAAGCCAGACTCAAGGAACATGGATTCTACCACCTCAGCCAGCTGGGCCTTGTCTAGGCAGTTGTTGGAAATCTCGATGAAGGATCTGATTGAGAAAAGAGCAAGAGGACCAAAGAGGGAGTATGGTCAGGCTCCAGGCAGGCTAGACTGATCATATTCAGGGCAGGGTAGGGCAAGCAGACTTGAGGATTATCTTAAGTGTTATCAATGGCCCAGGAAGTGGAATTGAGAATGTACCTTAAAAAGTCTGCAGTTGACACTAAGCTGGGTGGGGTTGCTAACAGCTTAGAACACTGGAACTGAACTAAAAATGACCTTGACCAACAGGAGAAATAGTCCATCAAAAAAGCAAGGCAACCTAGTAGAAAGAGTATTGGGAGCTAGAAGCTTTAGACCTAACTCTGACACCAGTTAATTGTATAACCTTGGAGAAGTCACTTCATTTATATAAGCCTCAGTTTTCTTATCTATGAATCCAGCAAGATGAACATCTTAATACTGGTAGAAACCCATGATGTGACTGATGCACCAGCATTTCTTGTATCCTCTCTCCCTGTCTGCTGCTATGCCTGGCCCTATTCCTGTTCTTACCACCTTCACAAGCCTTCATTGGCAGCAGCCATAATGGCAAATAGAGCAGATAGATGCCTGCAAAAATGGCAATCAAAGAAAGACATTCAAGGTCATGGGATCATAGATTAGAACTGGAAGGGATCTTAGAGATCATCTAGTCCAGCCTAGGAGGAGCTAAGTGGCATTGTAGATAGAATGCTAGAGTCAACAAGACCCAAGTTAAAATCTGACCTCAGACAAATCACTGGGCAAATCACTTAACCTCTTATCTGTAAAATGGGAATAATAATAGCACCTGGGCAAATCACTTAACCTCTCATCAGTAAAATGGGAATAATAATAGTACCTATCTCCCAGGGTTGTGGTGAGGATAAGATAAGATCACCTTTGTAAAGTACTTTGCAAACCTTATACCACTATGTAAATGCTAGCTATTATTAGCTATAACTAACCTTCTTAATTTACACATGGGGAAACTAGGCACTCCTAGGATGGTATGTCTCCCCAGATCTACTAATAGGCATGAATTACTGAGTTGCCTACCTTAGACCTCCACAGTCTTGCACAGGACAAGGCATTGAGCAGGTAGGCTTGGCTTTCCTGCCCTTGTGTGAGTCACTCCCAAATACAGTCACTTCCTCAGTGACCCCCTCTGGGGTTACTAATAAGGTCACATAAATAAGTGCAGAGATGAGATTTGAACCCAGGTCCTTCCAATACTTTTTCTATTGATGACATGCATGATTAGAGAGATATCTCAGTCATGTGCTATGCATGACCCATGAAATTTGCAAGAACTGGGGAGTGAGTTTTCTATTATACTTGGCATTGCTCTAACACTGTGAGAGGACTGTGTCTAATTTGTGTTTCTGTAATTTGAGAAGGAAGTGAAGAAAGTGGTGAGGCCCAGAGTAAAAGCAATTATTAAAGAGATAGAAAGATTAGAGAACTGTGGACTGCTTAACCAAAGAGAAGATTGATGTGTTACATAAGAATAGTCTTCAAGTGTATTAAAATTATTATGAAAAAGATGCACATTAATTGTTCTCTAGCTCTGCAATAGAACAAAAAAGGGCTTAGATTGCAGAATATTTGGAAATATTACCCAAAATATTTGGGACTCCCTCGAGGCAGGGAATATTCTATGCCCCTTGCCAGCAGGAAGCAGTTTCAGAAGGCAAGACCTTCTCCCCTTACACCAAAAGAATTTGGGTCCCATTTGTTTGAGGGGGGAATGATGGGGTTGGGATCTGGACCCCAGAAAGGAAAAACCCTGAACTTTCCCACCTGGCCAAATCTGTCTTTCCCCTGAGGCTATAATCCCATCAACTGGCCTTTCATTGTGGCCACACCCAACCTCCCAGTTCTCCATTACCCTTAATCTAGCCTAGCTCTCCATTGTCTTAACTCCCTATGGCCCCTGGCCATTTCTCATCCTTAATCCTAGCTAGGCTCCGTTCTCCCTTGGCCACGGTGGTCCAGGTCCCAGGAGTTCTGTTCACCCCAATTTACTGGCCACTCCCATCTAGATCCTCCTTAGACCTTTCCTGTTCACCCCAAACTACTTGGCCAGGGGCCACAGTCTTTCTGTATAAAAGGTCCATCTTGTCCCCATTAAGGTGCTTAGATTCTTATAATCTAGTCAATAGCTCACACATGCTCAGATTCCTTAAGAGTATGGCTAATATGGCGGATCTTTAATCAACCTTGTTTTTGATTGAAAAAAAAATTCCCTTTCTGTGACTGTTTTTTTCTGGAACCATCCCAACCTCCAGAACTGCCATACCGCATCATGGTGGAGAACTCCTCCTTGGAGAGGAAGCCATTCTTATCTAGATCATACATAGTGAACATGATCTTGGACTTATCCTCTGGAGAACCTAGGAGGATAGGGAGAGAAATTGAGATTTCTACCAACCTCCTAGCTTGGAGTCCCTTGGCTACTTTCTTAGACCAGGGTCCATTTCAGTAGATGGGAAGGTCACTAAGCCCTCAAGTCAGACTGGGGACCCAGGGATCAGAGAACAGCCAGGTCAGGGCAAGGAAGGGAGCAATGTGAACTCTTGAGTTCTTGAGGCTCTTTAGATGTGTAGCCAGCCCCAGCCTAGACCAGTTCATCACCTCCCCTCCTTTACCTTTCATGAAGATGACCAGGATGTCTAGGAATTCCCGGAAGGATAAGTAGCCATTCTTGTCTTTGTCAGCCAGAGAGAACATGGACTCTACAAACATGGCCTGAGGCTTAAGACCAAGAGACTCTGCAAATTCTGCCCTGCTCAGCTCACAGGCCAGGGCCTCTCGCACCTTCTGAGATGAGTCCTGGGGCAGGCTCCCTGCATCTGCCTGGTCAATGTCCAGCACCTAAAGTTGGATGGTGGAGGAAAGAAAGGAAGAGAAGAGTTCAGGCCTGGGGGAGGAGCCAGCTCTAAGTATCATTTTCCTCTCCTAGGAGCAAGTATAACATATTTTGTAATTTAATATTTTATTTTTTTCCCAATTCCATGTAAAAACAATTTTAACATTCTTTTTTCAAATTTTGAGTTCCAAATTCTCTCCCTCCCTCCTCTACCCCTCTCAATGAGAAGGCAATCAATTTGACATACGTTATACGTGGTAACAGATATTTTGGAAAAATTGTATATGATGGCTCTATTTCAGTTCAACATTTATTAGGGTCAACTTTACCTTTAGGTACACTTTAGGGTACACTTTACCTTCCTCCCTTTTAGGGCCAAGGAAAGGGAAATTTCTAGCTAGCTAAAGAACTAACCAAAAGTTTACCAATACTTTAGAGGTTTTCTGTTTGCTAGAGAGTAAACTTGAAAAACTCTGAAGACTAGAAGTTGAATCAATTACATACCTTAAAAGAAAAGCAAGTACACAATAGAGACCTACAGTTTCATCTACAATCCTCTTATTCTGTTCTACTCTGTATATGAAAACAACCATTTTATTTGGTGTTTGTTAAGTTCAGAAGAAAATATTTAAAAAAGAGTCGATTTGAAATTGTTAAAATGGACCATTAAGATTAGTCTAGAGGGCCATGTAGCTGATCCTAAATAAACAAATCCCAAATGGGGGGAGGGTGCCATTCTCTTCTGGAGTCATGGAGAAGCTAGATGCTTCATGACCAGAGGATCAAGGCAAGCTCTGAAAATTTTAACTAGATCATTGGATTTTTAGAGTTGTATGAAACCTTAGAGATCAATGAGTCCAATACTCTCATTTTACAGATGAGAAAACTGAGGGCCAGAGAAGAAAGCAAAAGTCCAAATCCAGGACTCTTTCTACTATAACAACTGACTTTATCACTTTGAAGCAAAGTATAATCCAGTGCTTTTTGATTCCTGTGAAAAAATACTTTATAAACCATAAAGTGGGCTGTTGTTATTTTCTTGGAAAAAGGTAATTGCTGGATGAATGAATGAATGAATCAATCAATAAGTATTTATTAAGTGCCTACTATGTGCTAAGCACCAGGGATACAAAAACAAAGAATGAAACAATCTGTACCACCTTGGAGTTTAGTTTTTAAAGCCCTAACCTATCTCTCCAACCTCACTGGGCATTACTCCTGCCATAAATTGGGATCCAACCAAACTGGCCTTATTTCTGTTCCTTCCACGTGAAACTCTAATTTTTATCTCCATGCCTTTGCACTGGTAAATATAGCTGTTCCCTAGGATTTCTGATTTTAGTCATTGTGGTCCTTGCTACTTGGGACTGGGGAAGGAAATTAGAACCCAGACAGCTACTCTCAGGAGACATTTTCTCCCAGGAGCTTGAGAGCTAGGAGAAAACTGAAAGCTGTTATAGGGACACTCAAGATAAACAGGTTGAGTAAAGATGACCCACATTGGGGAGGGCCCCAAGATGGCAGAGTAAAAGCAGTGACTTGCTTGAGCTCTCCCCCAAACCCCTCTAAATAACTATAAAAATGACTCTAGAGCAAAAATGACCAACATTGAGGAATATCTGGAAGAAGAATAGATAAGAGGTCCTGCTCCTCTGCCAGCAGTGAAGATGCCCATTTAGCTTTTGTGGTGGGAATGGCTAGCACAGGAACAGGCCTCACCTTAGAAGAGCTCTGTCCCAGTTCAAGTTTTCCATTCCCCCTAGCTACCCACCCCCTGCCTACCCCATTAGCTATGGTACCTGTGCAAAAAGGTGCCTAAAAAAGATCTCTAGGATATGCTCCCTTTGCAGCTTGGTCACAGCTTTTTTGAACAGGTCGCGTTCCTCCATGTCCGACAGCTCAAAGTCCAGGTCCCAATGGGCACAGTAATCCTGAAGGTGCTGGATAAAGACACTGCGCTCCTCCTCGGAGTTGAACATCAGCACCTAGGACAAGAACAAATGAAGGAGTGCTCGGAGCTTAGGCTTCTAGTTCAGTGTCCCACATGGCATCCCCCCCAAATCCAGAGGGACCCTCTGGATGAGGGAAGGGTGCAATAATTCTTCTCAGCACAGCCATAATGGGAGGAAAGGTTAACTAAGGGTAGTGAGCAAAGGGAGGCTGTAATAGGATAAGTGGGCCCGAGTTTGGGTCACTTCTAAAAAGAAACCAAGAATCAAGGGTGTGGCAAGCAGGAGATAGGAGGTTGGGAAGTAGGCACAAAGGGGTAGTTCATAGGGATCATACTAGGTCATATTCCTTGGGGATCTTGAATAGCAGTGTCCGGCGGCCACTGTTGTTTGACTGGATCAGGTTCATACGCTGTAAAGGCTGGAGCTGAATGGTCCGGATCGAAGACAGGTGTTCATCTACCACTTGAAGGGATCTCTCTGGGAGCAGCTGTAGGTAGATGGGACAGCTCCTCATGCCTGGGCCTGGCCACTCCATAGCTGGTGAAGAGAAGGGGATTAGGGTGGAATAGGATAGAGGGAGAGCTGAAGGCTAGATTTTCAACCCCTATCCTAAGGTAGACTTCCTCAGGTAGACTCTTTGTCACTTAAATTGGTCCTGCTCATTTGGAAGACCTCTTCATCTGGAATCTACCTTCACCTGGATCCCTTCCCTCTGTTAACCTCCATCTCATCTCACCTCTTCTTCACCTGACCTTCACCTCTCCTGGATCTCTTCTTTCCATTGAACTCCACCTCATGTGTTCCCTCCTTGATTTGACTTCCATCTCACCTGGATCCCTTCCCTCAGTTTACCCCCATCTCACCTGGCCTCTCCCTTCCTCCTTTTCTCACCTGCTACCCCCTCCATGGGCATTTCCTTCTTTGTGTGCTGTTTCTCTTTCTTCTGTAGCTTCTTGAACTCTCTTCTTCGGAAATGTGCCACCACCCAGGCAATGAATAGACTCACTGGAGTGGGGAAGGAAAAAGTGAAACCTGAGGGTCAGCCGGGGCTGATGAGAGCAGAACTCTTCCCCCCTCCTCCATTACACCAAGTTTCCCTGAGAGTTCCTGCCATTGCCTCCCCTGGCATCCTTGAAGCTAGACCCCAGAAAAGGGTATCTGGGTGACTCATATGGTGTGTATTAGGATGTTGTAGACAGGAGCTCTATGACAACCAGGGGAATGGCTTATAATTTGGGGAGGCTTGGGGAAGGAAAAATAGAGGGAGTAGGAGAGAAACAGTAGGTTGGAATTATTTACCTAAAGGGAAAAGGCAGAGGGCTACAATAGTAATCCCAAAGCCAGGAGCACTTCCTTTGAAATAGTCAAGTACTGTCATATTTACGCAAGGGGGCAAGATACCATCTTTAAGCTGCTGGGGTTGTTGGCAGGGGTCTCCTAGAGAAAAGAAAAGCAGCAGAACTTCAGGCAAGGAATTGTTCCCTAAAGATTCTGCCCCTCACCCACCTTCCCTCTCTTTCTGTTCTGGGCACCAAAAGCACCAGGATATTCTGCCTCCTCTCCAACTCTTGCTTACCTATGGGCACCTCTGAACACCCCATTGATCTTATTGCATAGCATATCTCACCCTCATATCCCCCGATCCTGACTCCTTGCATCTACTACCCAGCTTAAACCACTGGGTTGCTGAAGTTTCTACCTGAGGCTTCACAGCCCTGTATGGGACATGACATTGAGTCTTCCAAGACACTTGTCTGTGTCACACCCAGAGTCATACAACAATGGTCACTTCCACAGTGACTCCCTCTGGGGTCACTCCTCCCAATAAATCTCTTCAAGGTCCCTTCTCTCAGGGCCCCTCTTCCATGGCCACTTACCATTATTCCAGAAAAACACATTGGCCTGCAGGTCACTAGAACTGATGTTAGTGACAGCTACCAAGACATCATAGAGGGTTGTGTTTCGAATCTCATCAATCTCATCAACTGTGAACAACCTAGATGGAGGCAGGAGAGAAACTGAGAATTACTGGAATGAAGGGAGAGGAGGGCAGATCTGCAGCACCCTTACAGCCCCAGGAGCCGGTATCAGGAAAAGGTTGCAGAAATTATGAGGTGAAGTGGCAGGGGTAGGAAAGAATGAGAAGGTCTGAATATAGCTGGTCTGAGGATTCAGGGTTCATGGTAGGGGTAAAAGAAAACAAGGACTAGGGGCCATGCTGGGGATGCTTATCAGACAGGAGATTTCTGGGGTTCATTCAAAGGAGTGTAAAGGATGGAGGTGTTGCCTGAAGCCTAGGCTAGGGTTGAGTGTCAGAGGGTGTGAGGATTTGGTATCTCTACTGGAGGCCAGTTTTGGGGATGAGGTCTCTGGAAATTCCAGACAGGCCCTCACCCATTTCTCGTGTTCTCAAACCAGTAACGATCCCCGTCTCGTAACCGAACAAACTGTTCAAAGACAATGTTGCTGAACAGGGGTCCAGGGTTTCTGTAGCTCTCCAAGAGGCCCCCCGGGAGCAGCTCCAGATGAGACAGGTTATGGTTGTACAAGGTGGCTATTGCCTCCAGGATCTGGGAATGAAGAATCGTAACTAGGGCAAGGCAAATAGGACTTTGTTCCAAGTGCTGGAAGTAGAATAGGAAGGCATGCTTCCTCCTCACATGGCTTGAAGAGTGCTTTCCTCATACACTGAGGCTCCTTAATCAGCCTGTTCTCTCATGAATGGGGGGAGGGAGGGTGGTGAGGACAAAAGAGGTTGAAGGAGACTCACAAGTTAGACTAGGTCAGAGGAAGTCATGGACCTTCTCTCCCCATCACTGTCCCCATAGCCAGGCTGTGTTCCCCAAGACTTCTTGCCTTCCCCTTGCAGCTCCCTCTGGGGTCACCCGCAATCTCTCTGGGATTTGTGCCTTCCTCCCTTCTTCTTTCTCTCCCAAATGGATGTGCCTCAGGTGCTGGCATTTCCTAGTAATAGCTCTGGGTATTGGGAGGAGACTGATGTCTTCCCATCTCTAGAGACAGCAACCTTGTGTCTGCAGTCCAACTTTTTATTCCAGACTTCCGATTCTCCCTCTCACCCCTGTTTGGATGATCCAGATCTTTCTTTGGGGTGATCCTCCCTGAGTCCTCTTGGCTGAGGGCTCAGTGCTTCTCTTTGAACACTCTGGGACACTGTCAGGTATCTGGGGATTAGTGAGTTTGATTCCTGTTCTGAGGTCCTGCTTGACCCAGGAGAGTTGGCAACCTAAAGGGGCTTGAATCGGGGTGGGGACACTTGGCCTGGGAAGGAGAGCTTTTCTGAGGACCATTCCTGACTAGGGAGTATTCCTCACCTCAGGCTCCAGGTTAGGGTTGAGGGTGCTCCAGTTCTGCAGGGTCTTCAACCCCATGGCTTCAAGGGCCCGATTGTAGCTGGGCAGTCCCAGGTCTCGGCCCCTCTGAATGCTGCTGGCCACATAGTCTGTTCGAGAGAACTTGCCAGGGCCAGGCCAATAATCTGAGAAAACCAGATAAGCAGCCAGTCCCACATCAGAGGCTGGATCAGGCTGGAGGCCCTGGCACCACCACCACCATTTCCTCATTTTACCCATTTCTCTTTAGTCTTTAGTCACTGCCCCCACCCTCACTCCAGGAGAGAGAAGAGCCAGCCCTCACTGACCACAGGAAGCTCAGGGGCACAATAGATAGAGCATTGAACTTGGAGTTAGAAAAACCTGATTTTTGAATCCAGCCTTAGAAACTTAACTATCTGTGTGACCCTGAGCAAGTCACTTGACCTCTATCTACCTCAGTTTCCTTATCTGTAAAATGAGGGTTAAAAAATGGGTTGTGGTAAGAAAAAAAAATGAAGTAATATTTGTAAAGTGCTTTACAAACTTCAAAAATATATCTATATCTATAAATGTATGTATGTATATGTGTGTATACATATATACTCACACATATAGCATATATATATAATATACATATGTAGTACTGTATACTCATATATATATATATATATATATACATACACACACACACACACACACACACACACACACACTCTAGCTATTATCACCAGTGGATGCCCCTTCAGGTTGGATCTAGCCAGAGTTGGGGGTATAAGTTAGAGACAGGGAGAGTTGATAATTGATAGATAGGGCGTAGTTGGCCATCATCACCACTAGGTTCTCAAGATCTCCAGAGCCTGAATCTTTACTCCCTGTCCTAGAACGGACTAACATGACCCAGCCATCCCTGGCACAGGCCAAGAGATGGATTCCTTTCTAATCTTGAGCCTGGAGGCTCATGCTATTCGTACTTCATCATCTCTTCCCATCTTTCCTGACCTGAGACCTCTCTAGCCCCTGGATCCAGCCAGTCCATAGTGATCTCAGCCCTCCGTCTGCTTCCTCACCTCTCAGGTCCTGCACCACAATTCTGTCTTCTCGCTCTGAGATCTGTGAGGCCATCCCCAGGAGTAGTTCATTCACTGCCTCAGCACTGCGCAGATTTGGGTTCTGAATGGGGACATTACTGTTAAGGTATAGTACAAAAGACCTACTCCTGGCCATCCTCCACTACTCTCCACCCGCTGCCCAGGCACTTATATGAGGTCCCTCAGGCTCCTGTTTCTCATCCCCTGAGCAGTAGGTGGAAGTTTCAGAAAGGCAGATTTTGACCAGACGTAAGGAAAAACATCATAAGAGTGACAACTTTCCACAAAGGGAATGGGTTGCATTGAGAGACAATGGATTCTTCATCACTGAAGGCGTTTGAACAGAGTTTGGGTGACCACTTATGGGGAATGCTCATTGGGGACTCCCAGTCAGCTCTCAATTGGCCTGGATAACATCTCCTCCCACTCTCTGTTCCTTTCCTGGTCCTTGCCCTCTGAAGCAGCTGTGCCCAAGGTCTTTTCTTCCTCACTCTTGCAATCCCCACAACCAACTTGGGATAACCGAATCCAGAAAACTGAAGCTGTCACTTCATGCTGTAGCTAAAAGAGGCAGGAGACTCTGACCAGCTCCCACCTCCTGGGACCCCTGTCTTTCCTTGCCCCAAGTCCCCAGCTGACCTCTCGACTCCAGTAACTGTTGCAGACTCTAATTGCTGAGGAATTATCCTGGCCCTCGTTAATGATGCTTTGGAAATGACAGCTGGCATTTCTGAAACAGAAGGAACAGTGGGGATGGTGATAGGAAGTCATGCGGGGAAGGAGCAAAGATCCAAAGTAGTCCAAGGGAATTGGAAGTCTGAAGTAGAAATAGGTTGAGGTGAGGCTGGAACTGGGAAGTTTGCAGAAGGGCCTTCCATGTGGAAGGTGACTGATTGATATTTGAATGGATGGCAGAGGAACAGAAGCCCTTAGCCTCCTACCCTGGGCATGGGCATGCCATTTTGATCCAACCCTCAGCTCTAATCCCTCTGCAAGGAAAGTTGTTCAACAATCAATTAATCAACTAGCATTCATTACATGTCTACTATGTGCTAGGCACTAGCTATACAAAGACAAAAACAAAATAGTTCCTGTCCTCAAAGGGATCACATTCTATTGGGGCAGACAACATATACAAATATAAATAAATAAACACAAAACAAATACAAGGCATTTAGGTGGCAGGGGACAGTGGCTGCTGGGTGGGGGTGACAGGAAATCAAGAAAGGCTTTGTGTAAAAGATGGTGTCGCCATTTCATTCCATAAAATCCATACTAAGGGCAATGATTTCCAGATGTGCCATCTCCCAATCCTACATCCAACTCCAGTCTCCTAACCTCTTGTCTGTCTTCCCTTTCTTGTCATCATTCCTTGGAGATGGGTGTGTGGGGACTGGGGGAGTGGGTAGAGGGATGATCTGAAGTTAAGTCCCTCAGAAGAAATTCTACCCCTGTCCCTCTCCATCACAAGCCCACTCCCTCCCCTACCTCATGTAGACACCAGGAGGCACCATGGTGGAGAAGAATTGCTCGGAGGCTGCTACAAACTCAGGGGAGATGCTGGGATCCAAAAATGACTTGTACCCTGGATAGAGTAAGATCGCAAGCTCTCGTTTCTACCCAGCCCTTCTTCGTTCCATAAGATCCTGCCTACGCCGCCACTCCATACGACGGGCCCCGACTGGTGACCCCTCTCCCTGTTCCCCACTTACTTTCATACACTGGGGGGGTTTTCTCCAGGAAGCTGGGCAGCCATTCATATAGGGTAATGCTCTGTATGAGGAGGAGATGAGAGAGGAATGAGAGGCTGGTGGCAAGGGCCGGGGAAGGAGAACGAGAAGGAAGGACTAGAAAGGGCTGAGGATGCAGAGGTCGGAATCAGTCAGGAGAGAGAGATGAAGGCGGGCAAAGAGGAGACATCTCAGGGATGATGCTTGTGGGATCCTAAGAGCTAGAAGTACAATCCCTTCATTCTACAGATGAGAGAGACGGAGGCCCAGCGACCTGCCCAGTGTCCCGTAGGCAGTAAGCGGCACAGCTGAGATTCAGACTCCAGTCAAGTCAGCATTCTTTCTGACTATACCAAATGCCACTCAAATTCCCTAGAGACCCTTTAGAGAGCCTGGTCTATAGGGTAAGGGTCTCAAGGCCACTAGGAAGGGGTTATCCATGCCCTCTGTCCTTGGATCGGATGTGTTCTTTCTCTAGGATGGAGAGATGGCCGTATAAATATAATAATGCTCTGCATTTGTATGGGACTTTTGCCCTTTATATTTTGAGGCAGGAATGCCTTGGGAAAAGATGTAGTCCTCAGACTGAGGATGTTTCTATTTCTTGGATTGTCTTTGATTTGGGTCTAACCCCGGATAAGGGGACTGAGCAGCTTGTTCTATTGGAAAGAAGGCTGGACTTAGGAAACTGAACCCTGAGAAGAAGTCTAGGTTCAAATCCCTGCTCTAGTACTTAATAGGGTCAGGGTGAGGAAAGTACTTTGAAGAAACCTTCCTTGAAACCTTCCTTAAAACCTTAAGGCAAATCTAGCTCCGTGTGGACAATCACGTCCACCGTGCATGTTGTTCTCTGGTCACATATTCTTTGCATATGTGTTCTACCCCAGTGGTGCAGTGGTAACCTATGGGCAAGAGAACCCCCATTTTTCTTGTCATTTTATATGCTATCCTGTTTGATTAAATGTTTTTTGCTTTGAACTTAAAAAGAAGAAGAAGAAGAAGAAACTTAAGGCATCGTATAAATATGAGTTCTAGTTGTGATGCAGCTCTCTGCCCTGATGGTGGAGAGAAGGATTATTCCCTTCTGGGAGGCTGAAAGACAGAAAGTTGGTGGGATCTGGGCTGACCTGGTAGGTGGCAATGACCCTCTTTCTGGCATGCTGGAACAGTTCCTCATCTCCCCAGGTGGGGTGCTCCTGGGCCAGCCTCTGAGCCCACAGGTTGTGGTATCGGAACCAGAGGAGGCCTACTGCCTGCAGAAACGGATTTTGGTTCCCCCTCTCGGCCCCGAAGGCTACAACCAACACAAGGGGAGGAAAGTGAACTCTATTGCCCTTGTGGATTCCCAACTCCAAACTGACCTGCATCCTTCCCCTCTTACCTCCTCTTTCCTCCCCATCTATATCACTCCAAGGTTCACAGCTCTCCAAACTCTCAACTCACCATATATCCCTTGGGGCCCCTGTTGCCCAGTGGAAGGGTCTGGTGCTGTCCACATGAGGTGGGATCCCTGAGTGTCCCTGGGAAAAGCAGCGTCTGGTCCTGATGCCAGCTCCCCCCCAGAGAAGCTCCTCAGTGCATCACTCCAGGAGTGAGAAGAGCCATAAATGGCACTACCATCCAGCCAACTGGTCACCTGGTTGATCTGGACACAGACATCAGAAGTAGTGACGAGAGGCCAGGAGACCCAAGTATCCACCCCAGATTTCCATTTGTGAACCTCAGCCCCAGAGACAACATCCCTCACTCTGCCCCCCCCAAAAAAGAGCCCTTCAGTGCCCAACTCTGTTCCTTGCTCTTTATCACCATCCTGAACCTAAAAGAAATTGGGAGCCTGACTGAGCCCTCCTTTGTGACTGTGGACTCTTTTTCCAGAATCACCTGGTCTCGGGGGTTGTTAGGGCTCTTGCCTGTGAGTGGGTCCCACTCACTCCTCTGGAAAGGCAGCACCACACTCCCAGTGTCATCTGGGTCAAACACTTCATCTCCTTTGGGGATCTGGATGTTCATAAACTCGGCAGGACAGCCTGACCGTTCCACACTCACCACCTCAGAGAGGACATGGTAGCCTGAAGGCAGGAAGACAAAGGGGTCAGATAGGAAAAGACTGAACATCTTTCCCTCTCAAATCCTGATCACTGTATCAGAGAGAAGCCCTCTTTTTTAAAGCTAAATCTCAGAGGGAGGGACTGGGGAATCTATGCCCAAGAGTTAAAGGATCAAGGTACAGCTTGTGTTTGGGGTAGAGGGAGAAAAAAGGAAGGCAACAAGAAAAGAGGAGATAAGGTCTTGGGAATCTGTCAACCTATTCTTTCTACACTAGGTCTCTTTGGAGAGAGGGCAAGGCCAGGGTTGGGACCAAGCTCAAGTCTGACAGTGGGACTTGTGTTGAGAAGAGTAAGGTTCCCACAATCCTCCCTATTCCTCTGTCCAGGCAAGTGACACTGTATCAGGGACATTCCCCTCACCAAAGAAGACCCCAAGCACTGTGCGGTTTCGTAAGGAGGCATTCCCAGAGGCACCCTTCATGGCAACGTTGCTGATGCTTCGGGAGTTGGGCAGATGCGGCTCCCCTAAGGGCTGGTAAACACCATCTGAGTATGTAGCTGGGACCAAACGCTGGAGTCTGGAGCCTGAGATCAGGAAGGAGGGATGGAAGTTATGCTCCTGGCCAGGAACCCCCGGCCTAGGCCTAGCCAAGCTCCAGCCCCTCCATCCAAAGTTAGGCCCTTATTAGTTCACTATTAAGAGGTCCCTAGACCTCCCTACTCCTGCCTGGTGTCAAGGTCTGGTCCTCCTGGTTCTACCCAGCAGCAGAGTAGAAGCTCCAGAAGGAAGAGTAAACTGGTTCCACCTACTGGCCAAGATCCCCTCTGCAGCCTCTTGAGCATCCTCAGAAAGTGTATTTATACATGCCAAGAATTTCCCTTCACCGTCCTAAGCCCCACCAATAGCTAGCCCAAGCCCGTTAGGTACCTGCTGAACCCCAATCATGGTGTCTCAGGTTGTTGAACCAGCCATCATAGCGCTGAACTTCCCAGGATATGGTGAGAGACTCCTGGGCCCCTGGAGGCAGAAAGTTTCTTGTCTTCTCCCCCTTTGTTGGACATCCTTGGACCCCCATAAGGAGCTTCTCCTCTTCCCTTAAGAATCAAGTAACTGCTCCTGGCCCTCCCCCGTTCCTCATTCCTAAAGCTTGCCTGAGGACATTTGGTCCCCCCCCCTCAAGAATTATGACTGCTGTCACCCCTAAGGTTTAGAACATCTCGATCTGCCCAAACCAGCTGGACCTGAGTGGTGGCTGGTCAGAGAGAAGGAAAGGTTCAGTGAGTTGGGAGCTGATCCAATTTGGTAGAGTCCTCCAGACTCACAGAGGCAAGCTATTGACCCTTTCTCACTCACCCCTGCCCCTGCTTTTCCCATCTTCAGGTCTGGAAGGGAGAACTAAGGAAAAGAGCTTCACACCATATGATTTCCTGCCTCCCAGGGCACCTCATTACTTACCCACTGGATCCCAGGGTCCAATCAAAACCATCTGCATTGCCAGTAACCATATACTGAACATGATGATGGCAGGGTCTAGGGGGCAAGGGATGATGTGAGGAGGATGAAACTTGCTTGGGATAGCCAGCCCCATACTCCTACAGCCAGCACAGGTACAGACTTCAACTCCCTTCTCAGCACTACCCTTGATGGTCAAACCCTGTTTGCCCCCATTATAAAAAAAAAGTGAAACTGGAATGGAATCAAGGTAGGTAGACCTCCCTAAAGCAGATCCACCTATCTCCTCTGGCACTGTGCCAGAAGTTTCTGTCAGGGACATTTATCTGCTGTTCCTTAATAGGCTTCTGTCCACTCTCCCCACCCCACCCCACCCCACCTAGGGTAGTATTGTGGGATATATGGATGTTGCTTCTGCATATCACTCAACCAGAGGTTGGAGTCAGAGAAATTGCTATGTTTATTATTATTATTATTATTATTTCCACAAAAAGCCAACTGGAAACCTTAAGGAATGCAATATGGGGGCTAGGTGGAAGTTGGACAAAGGAAGTTATTTTAGAAAAAGAAAACACTCCTGGTAGTGAATAGACTACCTGGCAGAAACCAGTTCTGAGGTTAACATAAAAAGGAGTGTTCCCCAAGTAAGGATGGAATTGTGGGGAGTGGGAGATGTCATTAGGGGTGGAGACTCACTTGGGGAAATTAGGGGCTTCAGATAGGCTGTAACCTCTACAGTACCCAATGAATGGTGAAACAGGGGAAGGACATTCGAGTGGGGAATAGGGAATAAAAAGGTATGCATTTGTTGATATTTGTGCTTCCCTGATTCTTCCTGATTCAATAATGGCTTCATGGAATTCGTAATATTGATATAGGTAACAGTATGGTTCAATAGAAAGACCACTGGATTAGAAATTAGGAGACCTGGATTCTTTCTAACCTTGGTTCTGCCATTCACTCAACTCTCTGAACCTCAGTTTCCTCATCTGTAAAAATGAGGGGTTTGGCCTAGATCTCTGTGGCATTTTCTAATCCTGAAAAAGCTTATGATTCTTCATACTCCCCCCCACCCCCCTCCCGCCCCACACCTATTAAAAACCTTAGGCATTTCACATTCTATTTGCTCGCTGAACCTCACTGCCTCCTTGATCTTCCTCAAATCCACACTACTCAGGGGTAGGAAGATGGGAATAAAAATGGAGGCGGGGTGGGGGGAAGGGGACCGGTATTAATTAGTGGACAGGGAGTAGGAATATGTAGGATAAGCTATCGAAGGCCAGTTTGTCAGCCAATTCTGGATCCATTAAGGGAAGGAGCTGGGAGATTCCATAATACAAACTGAATAGGGTAGAGGGGTGTGGGGCGGGGTAGGGGAGGGGAGGATATAAAGTCCTCAAATATTGGTTTCTTAGAAGGCCCTGTTCTGGGAAGAGAGGAGAGAATTCGTCCTTCAACCATGAAACTGGATTCATGCTTCTTTCTCTGTGAAAGCAATGTGGTGAGGAGAGCACTGAGGTGAAACCACCCGATCTAGGTTTGAATTAGGGCTCCGGGGTTTACTAGCGGTGTGACCCCGGGCTAATTACTTAACTTTTCTGGGCTTTAGTTTCCTCGTTTGTAAAAAGGTGGAGTTGTTCAAGGCGAATTCTCTTGTACTCTGAGCGGCAGATTTCGTCTCTCTTGCAGTGTATCTGTATCTGTATCTGTATCTCTATTTTCCCTCCCCGGGTTACCCTTCCTCCCCCAGGTTTCCAGAGCGGCTTGTGTACTTACCTCCCTCCCTTCCCGTTTTCATGCAGGTCCAGCGTCTTTTGACAATGAGTCCGCTCAGACCGGAGTCTGGCCTTGAATGTGAGCTACTGGGCTGTAGGCTTGGCTACTGCTCCGGGTCCACACGCAGAGCGCTTTCCTCTGATTTGCATAAAGTCACACCCGGAGGTTTGACCAGTTAACCTACCACCTCGCCCTTCATTTGCATAACCCCCTTTCCCCACCTCCAGTCCTGGACCCCAGGAGGAAAAAACGGAATTCACTTGATCCTCCCTGCTATAAAAGGGTCTGTTGCCCGAAACGGAGATATAAAAAAAAAAACTAAACGGAGCTGACAAGATCGAGATAGAGACTAGAGAGCTGGACAGCACCGGTGAGAAAGAGTCCCAGACTCTCTGGCTTCAGATACCCCAACACAGAAAGCACTTTGAAGGAGCCTGATGTGGGGCAGGGAAGTGGAGGGCAGGGGGGCGCAATGCCCGTGGGGCTGCTCTCATCTTCTCTCTCTGAGACAGGTGGATCCCTGGGGCTCTGTCCTGTGTCTTGATTGGTGATTGAGCAGCTTGCTGTGCTCGGGGAATCTCTCACCTGACTCTGCTCCCTTGTGTGGGGTGGGTGGGGTGCGGTGGAAATATGTTGAGGAAAGATGTAGGAAAGGAAATGGGGAGGGGTACAGATATTAAAATCTCCTTCTCTCCTGATCTCAGGCTGCAAAACAGGTGGATTTCTGCCACTCGGACCCCTTGATCTTTCTCTCCTCCTGTGACGGTCAACATGACGTTGTTCAATGGTGTACTGCCTTTCTACCCCCAATCTCGTCATGCCGCCGGCTTCAGCGTCCCCCTGTTAGTGGTCATCATAGTATTTCTGGCTTTGGCAGCCAGTTTCCTACTCATTCTTCCTGGAATCCGTGGTCACTCGGTGAGGCTGGAGTCCAGCACCAGATTAGGGTCAATGGAGTAAGGAAAGGGGAGGAATTTCTGGCCTGAGTGTGAGAGATCCAAGAGAGTGGTGAGCCATCTCCAACCCTTCTCCGTTCAGCTCTTAAATGACCTTGGAGTCTCCAGTAATAGTGGGAATTAGTGAACCTCGACTTCTTCTGGTATGGGGTGGGGGAGAGGGGGGAATGGTGAATGTCACCCGAGGGGAAACGGAAACACAGAGCAGACCAGAATGGCTGAGGTAGAATTTGGGTCTGAATCAAGGGGCATCCCTTCTCCAGGTACTGAACCCTAAACTTATTGGAAAAGCTTCCCACACTTTAAGTTGGGAGTCACTCATATTTTAGCGATTCCAGAACCAGAATGCTCTTAGCTCATTGCAGCTGCTAGAGACTGGAACTCTCACACCATCAACCTATGGATTTTTTCAGGACCCGTCTCTCCCCTCCCTTCAAGTGCTTAAATCTCTTTGCTCTCTGGTTCACCACCCTTAGTCTACCCTTCTCTGGATGATGAGTTTGTGGAGCACTAAAGTCGAGAGCTAAAGTACTTTAGGTTTAGTACACATGGCTATGTGTGTAGTGGACAGTTTCTTTTATTAGTATTTCTTGGTGCTCATATAGGTTGATGTGCTCTTGTGATGTGTATGGATGAGTCCTTTATTCTAAAGGCTTATAAATCCAACTACAGGACTTGGAATCGTGGGGATCTAAGTCTTTATCTTTACTTCCTACAATCCCACGGAGTTTAAATTGTGCATTTGCTTTTCAAAAAATGTGTTGAAGCAAGCTCATCTTGACAGTTATTCTGTGTGGATTCCTGTGAGAATTCACTGTGTGGTAGTTGGTCAAAAAGCATTAGTTTAGCACCTACTATGTGCCAGGAGCTGTGCTAAGGGCTGGGGATACAAAGAAAGGCAAAAAACAGTGCCTGCTCTCAAGGAGTTCACAGTCTCATGGAAGAGACAACAAACAAACAATTATGTACAAACAAGCTATATTTAGGAAAAACTGAAGATACTCTCAGAAGTCACTCAGGTTAAGGTTAAGAAGGACTGGGAAAGGCTCCATGTAGAAGGTTGGACTTTAGCTAAGACTTGCAGAAAGCCAGGAGTGGAGGTGAGAAGGGGAAGTATTCTAGTCATGGAGGATAACTGGTAAAAATGCTAGAATTGGAATGATACCTGTGAAGAACAGCAAGGAGGTCAATGGTATTGGATCAGTCTCCGTGAGCATGATACTACTCACTCTTCTTGGAAACTAAGTCTTTGAACCTTCCTCTTTCTGGGAAGATCCACCTTTCTGTAATATTACTCCAGGAGTCAAAGAGTCCCATGGACCAGTGACCAGAAGAATAAAGGGCTGAGCCAGGAATGTCAGACTATGGGTTGGAATGGGGAAAGAGAAGGAGAATGAAGGAGAAAAGTTCATTCATCTGTGACTCCTGAGGGATGGGGTGTGAGGAGTGCCATAAGAGTATGACTCCAGAACCTGAGAAATGCCTCATTGGGTCAGGCCCTTAGCAGGTGCAACTTAGTATTCTGCCTCTGACACGGGCACCAAAGGTAAGGAAGGCAAGGACAAGATTTTCTCTGAAGTCAATCTCTAATAGTTTGGAGTTTAGTTCCAAACAGTGTGGGGAAGCAGGAGAGGTTTATTAAGGAGCTGGTTACATCCTCTTGGCTATGAATCAAAGCAAATAATGGGGGTAAGGAAGGCTCTTAGCGGTTGGGTAATGAAAATCATCTTCTCAACATTACTGACCCTTTCTGTCCTTGCAGCGCTGGTTCTGGTGTGTTAGAATCCTCCTCAGTCTGTTCATTGGAGCAGAGATTGTAGGTGAGTGTTTGACTCTTGCTGGGTAGGGAGAGGGCAGCCTAGAAAAGGAGAGAGGCTAGGAGAACTGGAGAAGTGGCTCTTGGTGGATACTACCCTCGAAGCCACTCTGAGTGCCTTTTGCTCATTTCTAATCTCTCCCAGAGGCTTTTCTTTTCCATCATACCCCCTTTATCGTGCCCTATGTCTACTCCTCATGACCCCACTGTGTTACACTTTACCACCATGCTCCACAAGTTCCCCCACTGTGCTTCTCCTCCCTCAAACCACCACATTGGGCAGCTAGGTGGCACAGTGGATAGACCACCTGCCCTGGAGTCAGGAGGATCTGAGTTCAAATCTGACCTCAGACCAAACACTTGACACTTACTAGCTGTGTGACCCTGGGCAAGTCACTTAACCCCAATTGCCTAACCAAAAAAAACCCCCAAAAACCCAACCCTCCAAAAACATTTTGTTCTCTCTTAGCTGTGCACTTCAGCGGGGATTGGTTCACGGGCCAAGTAAAAACCAGCACCTCCTACAAGGCTTTCACCTCTGCCCAAGTCAGTGCAGATATTGGGCTGTATGTTGGACTATCAGGAGTCAACATCACGCTCACTGGTGAGAAAGACTAAAGGAAAAGGTGCTTCTACCTGGCCCCTTCGCATTCTAGAGGTGACTCTGTGTCTTATTCTAGCACATATCCCGAGATGGAGGGTTGGGGACAGTGGGAAGATATGTTTGTATCTATGTGTGGGACATTTTGGCAAACTAGGACTACAGAGCTAGGACTTAAGGTCCCTAAGAAGCCTCCCTCTTTCCCTGCCCTGGCCAAGCCTCTCATCTCTCCCCTTCTGCGACTGTGTTCCCCCTCCACATTTTGATGTACTCTGAAGTTGCTCCCATTGCACACGGCGCAGACCCCCACGATCACGCATAGAGACAGATTTGGCCAAACCCTTGCTGATCCCACCTACGCACCCTCCTCCAGGGACCCCAGTGCACCAGCTGAACGAGACTATCGACTATAACGAGAAGTTCAGCTGGAGGTTTGGAGACAATTATGCCGAGGAGTACGAGAAGGCACTGCAGAAAGGGCTACCAAACCCCGTGCTCTACCTAGCGGAGAAATTCACCCCGGTCAGTCCCTGTGGCCTGCATCGCCAGTACCGGCTGGCTGGACACTATGCTTCGGCTACACTCTGGTGAGTGCACGAGTGGACTTGGGGGAGTCCACTGCCAGGAGGTGAGGTCTCACACTAAGCTAACCGGCTTGACCAGCTCTGCAGCCCAGGGAACCCAATAACCAAAGCTGTGAACTACTGTCACCCGTAGGGTCAGCAGGTCCTAACTGATTGCTCCTACTCTTTGCGGTGGCTGATACCAACCACCCGCCGGGCTGCAGTTCTAACCTAAACTGGGAGCCTCTTTCCATCCATCCATCCATATCCTGGGGGCCTCCCACCTCCCACTCTCTGTCTCTGCAACTCGCTGCAGCTACGCCTCGCGTTCTGGCAAAAGGATTACGAGAGCGCGTCATAGTCTAGCCTGTGATTAGAATTTCCGACTGCCCGAGGGAAGGGCAGGAAGCAATGGGGGAAGGGTCTGTCTAGGAAGCTTCTTGGAAGATGTCTTACCTCCTACCCTTTTAACTCTGAACGCAGGAGACGCTGGGGGCTGGGTGGAGGTGGGGTGAGGCAGGCTGGATGAGAAATGGATGGGGGGGGGGCGGGTATCCAGGGACTCTCAGACCGACGACTTCTCCCCTAGTATCCAGTATGAAGGAGATGGGTTTAGAGCTGGAAGGAACCTTAAAAAAGTAATCGAAGTCGATTCTCTCACTTCATTTTACAGATGAAGAAACCTGAAACTCAGAGAGGTGATAGCTAGTAACTGTCAGAGGCAGTATTTGAACACAGCTTTTCCTGCCTGCAAGACCAGCAGTCTGTCCACTAGGCCACGCTGAGAAGTCCGTTTCTTTAACCCTCGGGGTTTCCCCGACCCCTTCTTCTGCAATCCCAACAGAGTGCTCTCCATTTCCGGGCTGCTCTCACTTTTCTCCCCCATTTCTCTGCAGGGTGGCATTTTGTTTTTGGCTGCTTTCCAACGTGTTGCTTTCCATGCCCGCCCCACTTTACGGAGGGTTCTCGCTGCTGATTGCCGGAGCCTTTGTATTCTTCTCAGTCTTCGCCTTCGCTACCATCTCCACTGTGCCCTTATGCCCGATCCGCTTAGGCTCGGAGTTCCTCAGCCCCAGCTATGGAGCTTCCTTCTGGACCACGGTGGCCACAGGTGAGAGAAAGGTGTAAGACTAGGGAACCCAGTAGGACCTGGGACAGAAAAATGGACTTCTGAAGTGGGTGGGGGCTCAGAAATAAGGCTGGATATGGCCAGTACAGGAATTTGCTTTGCTTCACTGTTATTATTTGTTACAAAAGTTTGGTTTGGTTTTATTTTTTAATATGGGCGAGAGAGGCGAGGGGATATAAAATAGATATTTCTTAATTTAAAATAAAATAAAAGTTTGAAACAAAAAAGGAATAAGGGTGGAGGTCTGGCCAGGTGCCGCCCGGAGTTCTGGGGTTAAGCCAGGCTCCAGACCTGGGGCGCTAACACCCTCTTCCCTTCTTCAACCTGTTGCAGGTTTCTTATGCCTGCTCCTAGGAGGGATGGTGGTATGTCTACACTACACACATCCCAGCGCCCTGCGCACTTTCCTGGACCTGAGTGATGACCTCGTAGTCCAAAGGAAGAGCGTGATGCCACAGATCTACAGCAATCCACTTAACTTGCCTGAGAAATGCAAACCGGCGACCCCAGACATACAACTCTCTATTCGCTTGTAGGGGGCCTTCACACTGCGGACTTTTATTCCCAAATCAGAAAGGTGCGTGGGAGCCGTTTAGGATAGAAGCGGCCCCATGGACCTCACTCCTCCATTCTCTGCTGGCCGGAGAGAACAAGCGGGGAATCGCGGGTGACTCCTCTCTATCAACAGGGGCTGTTAGGCGACGATTGTAAATAAAGACTCTTATTTTTTTTATTGAGGGAAGAAAAGCTTTCTATTAATTTCCACAGCCTGAGTGGGTTCTGGGGCCTTTGCCGTCAAGAATCCTCCATCCCTTTGAATGTTGCTCCCTATGCTGGCGATAGCTCCTGACCTCGAGAATGGGACCTTGTACGCAACCTCTTTCTGAACCATCCCAGCCTCTCTGCGATCCCTGACTCCTGACTCGCGCTGTGCTCGAGGCAACAATGCTGCCCCAGGAGGGACTCAGGAATCCTCGTGCTGCCCCCTAGCGGGGGGCACGGAGAGGCGGAACCAGGACCAGACTCTAAGGGCTGCGCCCCGTTCTACTGTGTGATGTGTAAAAGACGCCAGCTTAGACCTGCACAACTTGTGGCTTATGGGTTAGTCCTCAGTGACCTCCTCTTCCCATTCTGGGGTTCTTCCGCACCACATGCAGCTGCCTTCTTCCTTGCAGTAGAGGTGAAACTAGGGAGGAGTCCCAAAATAGCCCAGGAAGGGGGCTTTCAGGGGAATCATGATTGATTCTGCCCCAACAAATGCGACTCTGTGGACCACCAATGAAACAGTACAAGTTGGATCTTCTAGGTTTCTTTGGGAATCCCAGCCATGAGTCCCCTTCACCCTATACCGACCTAGCTCTTGAACTGGAGGGTGGAGAATAGAGAAGTTTCCGGATTTACTGGCAGTCTAACCCCTCACTCAATTCTTTCTGACTAGATCCGTGGGATTAGGTCAATTGACAGAATAGTCATTGAGTTTTGGAGCCAACCATCTGAGCGCTGGTCTCCTGTCTTTTAGCTCAATATTTTTTGCACTAAAGCCTTGCTGGTTCTCAAATGTGGTGGAAGTAGGGGATAATAAAAAGAAAGATGGTGGAAATGGGAAAATTGGAGGTGAAGGGGGTGATAGTATTTTCCCAGTGGAATGTTTCACTTAGTAAAGTATAGCCAGATAAATTAGGCTGTGTAACCCCTCCGTCCAACACACTGAACCATAGGAAAGCAAATTAAAATGAAGTCCAGACGTCTTCAAAGGGAAAAGGAAGTTACCAAACAAACAAAACAGGCTGAGTTTGAAGTTTGAAATGAGGACTCAAATTGCCTGCATCTTTGATCTGGTACCCAGTGAGAGGAATCATAGGATAGAGCTAAAAGGGACCTGGAAAGGCATCTAGCCCAATCGCCCTATTTTACATAGGAAGAAACTAAGGCAGAGGGAGGTGAAGTGATTGGATTGACCTTTAGCCTCTACCCCTACCTGCTGTCTCCCAAAGTCATTGCTCAGACTCCAACAGCAAGGATTAGACATTAGAATGTAGACTGTTGGAAAGGATCTTTACCCAGTTCACCTAGTCTAGTGGTTGCCAATCTTTTCAAGCATAAGGATCATAGGACTTCTTTTTAACATCAAAAAATTCCAAAACGCCTCCTCCTATCCCCTTGATATTTTGTTAAAGGTAAAAGACCAAAATGTCATTATTTGGTAGCATTATATATTTAAGAACCACAAGCTAGCAATCACTGATCCAGGCCATTCTCTTCCTCTCCCCATTTTGAAGATGAGGAAACTGAGTCTCAAAGGGATGAGATGACTTGTCCAAGATCACATGCCTAACGAGTAGAATGTTAAGCTCCTTTAAGGCAGGACTTTTGTTTTTGTTTTGATCGTTTGTATCCCAGCTCCTCCCATTGTGCTTGGCATATAATAAATGCTTGTCGTTTCAAACTGAATTAATGTAGTAGATTCAAGCTGAGACTTGAATCCGATCTTCTGGCTCCATGTCCAATGTTCTTTCTTTCATATCATGCTGCCTTTCTGGGAAGATATCCACCATAAACTTGGGAGTGGTAATCATGGTTCCTATGAGTTGGATGAGATTTGGAACTAGAAAGGAAGTCTCAAATGGTAGCAATTTGGGAAGGCACAAGTGTATGCAAACTGGAAATCCCTAAGAAATGGGGCTAGAGGGCACTGACATCTCCAAACTTCCTTAAACTCCTAAATCTGGTGGGGTATAGGAGATGGGATGTTATAAGGAACTCTCTGGCTCTCTCTGGGGCTCCTCTGGAGGCCTGATGGGCTCCTCCATAGGGGGCTCCTCACTGGGAGCCTCTGACAGAGTTATATCTTGGTCCCCAGGGCTCTCTACTGAAGTCCTGTATCGTGGATCCAGGAGTTCCCCTTCTTCTGGACCTGCTATCTTTTCCATTTCCTCTAGCCCACTTTGGTTGAAGAAAATCTTCAGCCTGTCTGGTTGTATCCTGTGCATTACCATCACAGCTAGGCCCAGTAGAATACACAGCAGCCCTGAGGAAGAGAGGAGAGTTGGCAAAGAAGTCTGAGACAGATATGTGGAGGGTGGGTGGTGGGGAGGGGAGAAAAGAACCATGGAGAGTACTCAGTATGAAAGGAAGGATAGGGAGGGAAACAGGAACCACATATGGTAAGGTGGAACTGAGGAAAGGGAGAGAAAATGACACAGGACAGAAATAAGGGGAGGGGTGGTATACACTGGGATTGCCATTCATATCTCAAACCCTTTTCACAGGTGTACCCCAAGGCTGTATCCTGGGCTCCCTTCTTTTTCTGGATATACTCTTTGAGTGATCCTATAAAGTCTTACAGAGTAAATTATCACCTACATACAGATTGATCCTCAATTTACCAGTCTTCCTCTATATCCTGAACTCTAGTCCTGAATTACTGACTACTTGCTAAATGTCTCCACCTGAATGGCCCATAAACATCTCGAACTCAACCTGGTCCTAGGCCCAAAACAATTCACCATCTTTCCAAATCCCACCTCATTGTCTCCCTGACTACAGTGTTTCTCCTTTCTCATCTGTCCTCCACATAGGTGCCAAATTGATGTTTCTAAATTTCGGGTTTGATATGTTATCCTCCTCCTCAAGAAGCTTCAGGGTCTCCCTATTCCTCCAGGGAAAAAAAATGCAGATTCTTCTATTTGGCATTCAAAGCCCTTTACACTTTGATTCTAGTCTATCTTTCCAGACCCATTACAGATATTTCTCCTTTCCAGTGAATAGGAGAGAGTCATCTGTGACTGGTCTGGAAAGATGGGTTCTGTAGCTGGATTCAAATCCTGCCTCAGATACTTACTACCTCCCTGATCTCAGTTTTGTCATCTGTAATATGAGAGGGTTGAGCTAGATTGAGCTAGGTTGAGCACTCAGAGGTGCCTTCCATTTCTATATCTAAGATACTAGGCTTGGAATGGTATCTCCTCTATCAAAGAACTGCTTCAGAGCATAATTCTTGTGCTGCCCCCTACAGGAAGAGTTGTTAATGTCTTCCCAAGTTACTTTGTATCTACTCAGGATGTGTGTGTGTGTGTGTGATTGTGTGTGTGTGTGTGTATGTGTGTGTGTGGTTCTACCCCATTTAAATGAGGACAAGGTCTAGTTTTGTTTTTACATCTCCAACATTTAGCATAGTGCCTGGCACTATGTAATGAAAAATAAATGCTTGTTGAGCTGTTAAGGGATGAGGGAAGGAGTATAAGCAGGGGGACATAAACGAGGGGTGGGGACAAGGTACAGAAAGGGGTAATAAGAATAATAGCTACCATTTATATTGCACGTTAAGATGTGCAAAGTATTTTACATACATTATATCATTTGATCTTCACAATGAAATAGGGGAAATAGGTAATATTATTATCCCCATTTTACAGATGAGGAAAGAGGGAGGTTAAGGGACTTGCCTGAGGTTTTTTGTTATTGTTCAGTTGTGTCCAACTTTTCATGACCCCACAGCTAATAAATGTCTGAGGCAGGATCTGAACTCAGGTCTTACAGACCCCCAAATCCAGATCTTTATCTAATGTGTCACCTAGCTGTGCTTAGGGTGAGAGACATCATCACAATACAGCCATTACTACACGAAATGACCTTAATCTGTTGACCCTTTCCAAGAAGCCATCCTGAGAATGGGTCAACACAACAGAGGTAAGAAGAAAACCCATAGCAGGTACTCTGAGGGTTCAGTCCTCTGGTGTGCTGAAGAAGGGAAATCTCATGGACAGGAGTCCCCTTTTCATTGGGAAAGGCCACCCCATTCCTCCCTTTCACTTCTTGGTCCCTCTTCCTGAAATCCCTCCAGGAGGGTCCTCACCAGTAGCCAGTGTGATCCAGAAGGCAGGTCCATGTTGAGTGTGTAGGGAGGCAGAACCCAGGTGGAGTGGGCACATTGGGGTCAGTGTGGCAGCCGTGGAGAAGAAGGTTAATGAAAGGATGAGGAAGACCCCTGTGGCCAGGAGCATGTGTCCACCATAAATTAATGCAGGCATGGAGAACAGCACATTTGATAACAGCCAGCAGAGGAATGCGACCCTGGTAAGGCACAGTTCAAGTGAGGAGAAAGGGACCCATAATACCCACAAGATTCTGGGAGGCTCTGAGTGATTCACCTCTGTAGTACCTTCGGGCTAAGTACCATTTAGACTCTGTGCCTAGGAAGCCAGCCCCCTCCTACCAGGGTTTCCAGGATAGTAAAAGATTATTGTCTAAAGTGCAGATCATCTTGCCTCCCTTCCCAGCCCTCTACCCTCACCAGAGTGTGGCAGAAGCATAGTGTCCAGCCAGGCGATATTGGAGGTACAGGCCACAGGGACTGTTTGGAGTAAATTTCTCTGCCAGGTAGAGCACTGGGTCAGGCACCCCCTTTTCCAGTGCTTCTATATACTCCTTAGCATAATTCTGTCCAAACTGCCATCTGAACTGCTCATTGTAGTTAATGGTCTCATTCAGCTGCTGTACTGGTATCCCTGCGGAAAAGAGATGAGGGAAGAAGGCCAAGGTCCAAGGACTAAGGAGGACAAAGACCAAAAGGGCTGTGTGTGTGTGTGTGTGTGTGTGTGTGTGTGTATGTCCTGTGACAGCCAGACAATGGCATGGGAATGAGCAAGGGAGGAAAACCTTGGCTATGGCTGAGAGAAAAAGCACTTCTCAGGGATCACAGGATTCTCCATTAAGAAAAGCAAGATATCTCAGGGGCTCTTCAGTCTGACCTTCATTTTGAAGATGAGGAGGTTAAGTGACCTGAGGATAATGAGTAATAATGAAAGGCAGAAATCCGCCCATGTCCTCTGACACCAGAGCCAGTGTTTTTCCCACTGTACCCATTCTGTGTTCCTAACCTCCTCTACCCAGGCTCAAAATCCCTTAAGCTTCCCTGACCCCAAGGTATGTATTTTCCAAAGACACAAAGCCCCACCAGGATTCACCCAATCATGTCCTTTTACCTGTAAGGGTGATATTGATCCCTCGAAGACCTATTTGCAACCCTACATTTGCACTGATCCTCATGGGGCTGAAAGCCTTATATGTAGTATTGGTGTTGACCCGGCCCACAGACCACTCCCCACTGAAGTTCACGGCTGGAGAGGGAAGTAGAGGAAGAAGGGGGAATGGTAAGAGAATCATGGGAGCATGGGGGGGTGGATGTAATCATTGGGTTCAGAGCCTTCCATTGCTCTCTGGGTCTCTATCTGCTCCCTTGAGAAATACTTCCCAGAGCAATATGAGAAGGGATAAGTGGGTCAGCAAGAATATTATTATTATTACTAATAATAATAACTAGCATTTATATAGTGCTTTAAGATTTGCAAAGCATTTTACACGTTTCTGCATTTGAACCTCACAACATCCCTGGGAGATAAGTGCTATTATCATCTTCATTTTACAGATGAGGAAACTGAGGCAGACAGAGGTTAAGAGACTTGCCCAGGGTCCCACAGTTAGTAAATGTCTGAGGTCCGATTTGTACTCAGGTCTTCCAACTCTCTACCATTTTGCTGCCTAGCTGCCCCAATGAATAAACAGCATGGAAATGCCTCTTCCTTCCACTGTCACCAAGACAATGCAATTAGCCATTTCCCCACTTTTATTGCCATTGTCTTCCAGGGATTTCTAAATTCAGGTGTTCACTTTAATTTGATTTCAACTGCATAAAAATGTTGAGTGAAAATGCTCAGTGTAATTTTCCCCTTTGTAATTCCAGGACTAGGCCGCTAAGTGGCGCAGTGGATAGCACACTGGGTTTGGAATCAGGAAGACCCATTTTCACTAATTCAAATCCAGCTTCAGGCCCTTACTAGCTATGTGACCCTGGCAAGTCACTTAACCTTGTTTACCTCAGTTTCCTCATCTGTAAAATGAACTAGAGAAGGAAATGGCAAACCACTTCTGTATCTTTGCCAAAAAAAAAAACCCCAAATGGGGTCACAGAGAGTTGGAAACTGAATAACACCAACAAAACCCCAGTGCTTAGCATCTTACTTGCCACAACAAGAGGCATCTGGTGGTGCAGTGGATAGAGCGCTGAACCTAGAATCAGCTGTGTGACCCTGAGTAAATCACTTAACCTCCATTTGCCTCAGTTTCTCCAACTGTAAAATGGGGATAATAACAACTTCCCAGGGTTGTCGTGAGGATCAAATGAGATAATATTTGTTTAAAAAAAAAAAGTTCTTAGCACCATGACTGACACAGGAAAGCACAGGGAAGGGAGGATCATAGATTCATCGGCTTATGGGATTTGTTTCTAGAAAGGACCTCAGAAACATCCAGTACAGTCCTCTTATTTTATAGGTGTGAAACCAACGTCCAGAAGAAGGGAAAGCAGTGACTTGCCCAAAGTCATGCCGCTAGTTAGTGGCAGAACTAAAACCGGAAACTAGAAACCAAGTCTCTGGATTCCTAGGAAATTTTCACTATCTCTTCCTTCTTCTTTACACACACACACACACACACACACACACACACACACACATGTGTATGTGTGTGTGTGTATTTTAGACTGTCTCCATATCTCACCCAGGGGTCATTTAGCAGCCTACTGTTAGGCAAGGGAGCTTTGACCTGCTCTGTTTCCCATACAGCTTGGTTTGCTCTCCCTAAGGTAGCCAGGTGCCCTCCTGCTCCCCAGAGATCACCACAATTGTGCCAGACTTAGTTGGGACACTGGATCGGCTTTTGCCCACTGTAGCTTAGCATTTCCCAAGCTCAAATGATTCACCAGCCTCAGCCTCCTTGGTAACAGGCATGTACCTGCACACCTGGCTACCTGGAGATGCTTCTCACAACACAGTGAGAGCTGGTATTTCAGCGAAGGGAACAAGAGTAGGGGTAAACCTGGGGAAATGGAGGGTCCCATTTTCAGGGATCTTCTCTGTACATACTCACCCAGGGTGGCAGCTCCAATGAATAGACTGGTCACCACTCGGAGCAGCCAAAACAGCCTCTGAATTATGAGTTGAATTCAGTGATCAGCTCGCTCTCTCCCTCCCTCTCCATCCCACCCTAAACAATATTCAAGGTCTCCGCCTGGACTGGGTATCTCTAGAGTTGGGGTTACTTGGGGTTGGGATCTCCTAGGGCTATAGTCATCTTAGTTAGGCTTGGGTTCCCCTAAAGTTGGGGGTAGAGTTGGGACTGGACACTGGAATTTTCTTGGGGCAGGGGTTTTATGCCAGGGCTGGAGCCTATCTCTTACCATCTTGCCTCGGATACCGGGCAGGATGCCGATGAAAGTGACCAGTCCAGTGAAGAAGACTGTAATAATGACCGCTGAGGTGGTATCCATGGGGAAGGTGGGTTTGGGGCCAGCATAGAAGGGGAATGTGTTTCCAAAGGCAGACATCTTGATGCCTGGTCAGGATTCAGGCTGCTATCACAGTACAAGGTCATAGATTAGTGCCCCAACCCACCAGCATTAGGTTATTCCTCCTCCCCACTGGCGATGGCATCAGTGTCTAAGGAGTCATCGTTCCCTCCAGCATCTTCCAATGTATTTCTTTAGAACCCTCAATGGATTATGAAGAAGTGGGTTATAAAACTTCCAGTAGCTTTTTATTGTCTATAGGATTACCCTCAGGTTCCCCAAATGAGTGCTATTATCACCAGAGACTTTGTGTTATCATCAATGGATTTCAGGCTGTGGTCTCAGGACATATTCCCAACCTTTTTATATGTTCTTCCTGCTCAGACTACACAGATAATAATAAGTTGATATGAAAAAAACAAAACAAAACAATGCTTACTTATGAAGGTAGAAAAAAAAAGCACTCTTCAGAGGCAACGCAGTGTATTAGAGAGGATGCTGGTTTAAAGTCAAGAAGGTAGAATTCATATCATACCCTAGCTACTACTACTACTACTACTACTACTACTACTAAACTACAACTACCACCATCACCAACACTATTACTACTACTACCATTACCACAACTACTACCACCACCACCACCAATACTACTACTACTACTACTTCTACTACTACTACTACTACTACTACAACTACCACCATCACCAACACTATTACTACTACTACCACTACCACAACTACTACCACCATCACCACCAATACTACTACTACTACTACTTCTACTACTACTGCTACCACTCCTACCACTACTACCACTACCATACCATCACTACCATTACTACCACCACCACCATTACTACTACTACTACTACCACCACTACCACTACTATAACAACTACTACTACTAGCAGATATTTGTATCGCATTTTAAAGATTTCAAAGTGCTTTATATATATATATTACCTAAATTGATTCTCACAGAAATCCCACGAGGTAGGTCACATTAATATTACCATTTTGCAGATGAGGACACCTAGGCTCAGAGAGGTTAAATTTCTTTGCAGGGGTCACACAGCTCATGAGTAACTGAGGTGGGATGTGAACCCCCAGGCTTTTAGTAATAGCTATAACAATGCCTAACATTCATACAACACTTCAAGGTTTGCAAGGCATTTCACTTATATTATCCCATTTGATCTTCACAACAACCCCATGGGGCAGGAAACAGAGGCTGAGAGAGGCTAAGTGATTGGGGTCACACAGCTAGTAGGTGTCTGGGGCAGGATTGAAACCCAAGTCTTCTTGACTCTAGCTCCAGCCCTCTCTCCCGCCTCACGTGCTAGCTCCTTCTTATTGGTTTTGTGTCCTGAGCCAAAGTCCCTAACCTCTCCAGGCAGTACCTCTGGGACTTATCTGCAACATCATGAATCTCCCTAGGCTGCTGAAATCACAGATAAGGCTCCAATCTCCACATCACTCATATGTCAGAGGTTCCCGTCTGACAACGGGTCCCAGGGCCCCTCTGTCTGACTACCCTGATGAAGTTCAGATCTGTTGAGTATCTCATCACCTGGCGTTTGGCATATAGGACTCAGTTTTCCTTCTACCCTACCCCAAAACAACAGTACTTGGCCTTCCTCTTCCATTCTTATTTCTAGGCTTTTTTTCTCCTTGAAATCTTATCTTTGCTTTCTTCTACAGTCATTCCAGAGATGGCTAGCTCTACATTTCTTTCTTTCTTTCTTTTTTTTTTTCAAAATTGGGATTAAGTGACTTGCCCAGGGTCACACAGCTAGTGAATGTTATGTGTCTGAAGCTGGATTTGAACTCAGGTCCTCCTGACTCTAGGGCCAGTTGCTCTATCCAATGTGCCACCTAACTGACCCCTAGTTCTACATTTCTCAGGCATCAGTGGAACCAGAATTAGACAGCCTAGAGCTTATCATTTCCTAGGTGTGAAAGAATTTGAGACTTGATCAATCAATCTCCTTTCTGACTATTTAATAGTCTCTTAATATGTCTTATAAGTATTCTGCTTTAATTTTGCAATAATGTTTTCTATCATGAGTAACATTCAGGCTGAAATATGGGAAACTCCTAATTGGAATGTGGGTACCTCCTACTTTTGGGCAGCTAAGTGGTGAAGTGGATAGAGTGTAGGCCTAGAGTCAGGAAGACTCATCTTCCTGAGTTCAAATCTGGCTTCAGACACTAGCTGTGTGACCCTGGGTAAATTACTTATCCCTGTTTGCCTCAGTTTCCTCATCTATAAAATTATCTGGAAAAGGGAAATGGCAAACCACTCCTGTATCTTTGCCAAGAAAACCCCAAACGGGGTCAGAAAGAGTCAGACATGATGACACCACCACCACCACAACCACCTACTTTTAGTTGATCAGTTGCCAAATTTTTCCAGGTTCTCATCACTCCTCACCTGGATTATTGTAACAACTTCCTTAATGATAGCCTGCGATTCCAGTCTCTTCCCTCTCCAATATAACTCCCATGCTGTTGTCAAAATACTCTCCTTAAGGCACGAGGCTGACCATGTCTCCAAGCAACTGACTACTCACTCCAATACCTTCAGGGGCTCCCTACTGCCTATGGGATAAAATGAAAACCATCATTGAAAGCCCTCTACATCTAGCTCCTTCTTACCTTCCCAGCCTCATTCCATACTACTCCCTTTCACAAAACTCTTCTCTCCAACCAAACTGGTCAACTAATTGTTCCCCAAACTCATCATTCCATTTCCTTCCTCTGTATCTTTGCTCAGGCTGTCCCCTATGCCTGGTGCATGGTCCCTATTTAGCTCCACATTTTAGGCTCCTTACTGTCAGTCTTTCCCGATCTCCCTAGCTGTTAGTACTCTTTCCCCAATCTCCTTGCATATCTGTCTAAATGTACCTTAGGGGCAGGGGCCATTTTTTGTTTTGCTCTGTTTTGTGTTTCTAGTGCTGAACACGTGGAGATGAATAGATGTCTATTGTGTATGATATCTCTTGTCGTGGGATCACAGACAGCACCAGATGGGACCTTAGAGGTCATTGAGTACAACTCCTTTATTATACACAAAAAGGAAACTAAGGCCTAAAGCAAAGTAAAGTGACTCATCCAAGGTCACATAGGTGGTAAGTAGCAGAGCTCTTTGATTCCAAATCCAGCATTTTTTTCACTGAAACATTGTTCCCTCTCCTAGAAATATATAATTGAACTAGATGTCAGGAGACCTGAATACTAGTCCTGGCTCTGCAACTAGCTAGATGGATAACCTTTGGCAAATCACCAACTCCTTTGGCCCTGTTTCCTCATCTTCAAAATGAGATCCAATTCAGTGCTTTCTAAGATTCCTTCCATCTCTAAACTTTCTGTTCCCATTTTCCCCATCTGCCCAATATCTTCCCCTCTCCTTGCCCCAATGGCCACCTCTCCTATTCTTGCTCAATTTAAAAAAAAAAATTAAGTCTTGTTTTATTTTTAATAATATTTTCATTTTCCCTCAATTACATGTAAAGACAATTTTACCATTTCTTTTTTGAGGCAATAGGGGTTAAATGACTTGTCCAGGGTCATACATCTAGTAAATATCTGAAACCAATTTGAATGGGAGGTCCTCCTGACGCTAGGGCTGGTGCAGCGCCACCTAGCGCCCCTCTTAACATTTATTTTAGAAAAAAATTTTAAGTTCCAAATTTTCTTCCTCCCTCCCTTACATCTCCTCTCCCCGGGACAGTGAGCAATTTGATATAGGTTATACATGTTCAATCATGTAAAATTTGTCATGTTGTGAAAGGAGACAAAGACCAGCGGGGAAAAAAACCCACAGAAAAAAAATAAGGTGAGAAATAGTATGCTTCAATCTGCATTCAAACTCTCAACAGTTCTTGCTTTCAAGGCGGATTTTGTTCATCTTTTTTCGACGTTTCTCTTCCTTCTCTCTGCCCACTCTTGGCTTTCCTTACTGGCTTCACAGAAAAAGGGTCACTAATTGTCTCTTAATCCAGCTGTGCCAGTCTATATTTATATACAAACACATCCTCAAAGACACATACAGAGATACAGACTGATAAAGGCACACACAAAGACACAGACATTCGAAAAACTTAAGATCTCTGATCAATGAAATGGTCAGCCTTGATTGCAAAGGACTGATGCATATCTGTACTACACACCTTCTAACAAACAAGTGATAGATTCAAGGTGCAGAATGAGGCATACATTTCTGGACATGGTTAATGTGGGAAATTGTTTTGCACGTCTGTGCATATTTGCTACAAGGGTTTTCCTTTTCTTTTCTTTGAGAAAGGGTTAGTGGGAGGGAGAGAAAATAAATACTTGTTAACTGAAAAAATAAAATTACTTTAAAAAACCCCAGATATTAATAGAGGGAAAGACACAAAACCTGAAATAGAGAATCATTTATACAAAGAACAGACAAGAGAAAAGCAGAGACACACAAATAGAGAATCCATGTTCACAAAGATATGGACAAATACAGAAACAGAGTGACAAGAGACTAACAAAACAGGAATCGATTAGAGAGCTAACCAAATCAATTGGGAAGCACCAATCCCTCTTGGAATTCTTGGGTCCTTCTTTGTACTGTCACTAACTAGAAGTCCACCAGGGGGACTCTCTCCTCCTTAAATGCTAAGCCTCTACTACACAAATAGATGCAGAAGTGCCTAGGAGTCTCCCAACTCAGGAACCCAGCACACATAGTTAATTACATGTACAACTTGTAGCTGTTACAGCTTCTACAGATGGAGAATGGTTTAGGTAATGGTTTAGAGAATATCAGACCCGTTCAAGTATGAGTACTTAGTGTGATTCAGGATAGTAATCTTAAATAGGACTAATCTTTAAAAGGACATAGGCTAGGTGGTGCAGTGGATAGAGCACTGAGCTTGCAATCAGTAAGAGATTCATCTTCCTGAATTCAAATCTGGCCTCAGACCCTTACTAGCTGTGTGACCCTTGGGCAAGTCACTTGACCCTGGTTGCCTCAATTTCCTCATCTGTAAAATGAGCTGGAGAAGGAAATGGCAGACCACTCCACTATCTTTGCCAAGAAAACCCCAAAATGGGGTCATAAGGAGTTGGACACAACTAAATAACCACCACAAAGGATGTAGGACAGCCATGTTATTTCTCTTAATTCCTGAAGTTTTGGGAGGAGTGAATGGGAGGGGAAAGGTGTCTCTGTGGGGAAAGGACGACCCCTCATCCTTCATAAGAGGGGACCCTAGGCCAAGCCCTACCAGTGCCACTTGCTAGCTGTTTGACCATGAAGAAATCACCTCATCTCATTTGGCCTTAGTCTTCTTATCTGTAAAATGACAGACTTGGACTTGAGGTGATCTCCAAGGTCCCTTCCAGCCCTAATATTCTGCAACTTCTCAGGAATGTTCCTTTGGAGGCTTTTCTGAACATATAATAGGTAGGTAAATATAGAAATAAGATAGTTTGTTCCTCCAACAAAGAGTGGCACACTAGTCATCTTATTCTAACCTGTTTCCCCTAGTCATCTAAGGCTACTACAGGGCGGATGGGCCTGGAGTCTGGAAGTCCTGAGTTAAATCCAGCCTCAGATACTTACTAGCTGTGTAATCCTGGGCAAGCCACTTAACTTATGTTTGTCCCAGTTTCTTCAACTGTAAAATTAGGATAATAACAGCACCTACCTTCCAGGCTTGCTGTGAAGACAAAATGAGATAATACTGTATTAATAAAGTGCTTAGCATAGTAGCTGGCACACAGCAGGTGCTTAATAAATGCTTATTGCTTTCTCTCCTAGCTAGAGGCCTACCTCTACTGCAGGCCCTCCCCTAGAGGGAAGAGAACAAAGGAGTAAATTGGACAGGAAGTGATGTAAAGATTTAAAAGAATTTTGGGGGGAAGATTTAGGAGATAAGGATGAAGAGAGAGGGCAGAATTAAGCTGTGCCCATCAAGCCAAGCTGGGGGAAGACTTCTACTAGGTTTAGATCACAAAGCAGTGCTGGTGTGCTTTGTATATCCTGGAGGATAGGGAATGTAGTTCATCTTTGTGTTCCCTAGTGCCCAAGCTTAATGAACATTCATTGAATTGAACTGAATATTCTTGGCTTTATTTTTCCTTAGAAAAAATAGCTACTTCTGAAAAACTCTTAAATCATATTAAATTATTTTGTTGTTCCTCCTTCACACCAAAATACACACACACACACACACACACTTGAAGGGAAACATGGTGTAGTGGTTAGAGAACTGGCCTCATAAACTAGGAGGATAAGGGTTCAAGTCTGATGTATATACTGGTTGTGTGACACTGAGCAAGTCATTTAACCTTAGTGCTCTAAGACTTAGACGGTCTAAGCAAGTCCAAGACTGCAAATTGTAGAGAAGCTGCTGTCCTCTATTAGTAGAGGGTGTTTCCTCACCCGAGAGTTCCATGTACAAATAAAATCACTGATCCAGAACCTATCCTGGATCTAGGAAAACCCTCAGAGACCAACTCCCTCATTTTACAGAATAGGAAACTGAGGCCCAGAGAGCTCAAGTGACATAATTGCCCAAGGTTACACAGGTAGTAATTTTGGGGGATGGGATTCAAACCTAGGTCCTGTGATTCCAAAACCAGTGTTCTTTTTGCTGTACCAAGATGCTTCCTAGAAACAGGAATCAAGGCCCAACACAGTGACCTAGAACAGAGGTCTCCAAAGGGGGAGCTGCAGCGTGACCCAAAGAGGTGTGTGATTAACCAACTGGAGAGTGGGAAGATGGACTGAATCCCAACCTCTCTGTCATAGCCAATTTGGGGGCTTGTCTCTGTTCCAACCACACCACCCTTTACACATATTCCTCAACACTCTTTCACTTCCCTCCTCTTCACTCCTCCCCCCTCTTCTGTCATGTAAGCTCCCCGCCTCTCCTCTTCTGGCCTGAGGGGCAGTCATACTCTTAACAATTACCTGGGCATCTATAGCAGGAACTATACATGTGCCATTAGGAAAATTCCTCTCTCCACCCCTCCCGACGTACCCACCCTGTGCCTTCCAGAACATCTTGTTGTTTTAGAGGTCAGGTAACACTCAGAGGGTGGGCTCTGCTCTCTGAAGTAGTTACCTGGGAGTAAGAGAACACCCCCCTCTCTTTCTGTTTTGGGTTCCATGGTGTAAGTCATACAATAGCGCATGTCTATATGTATGTAAATATACATACAGGATGTTCCTAAAGACTTAGTGAATTCTGAAGTTTTAGGAGTATAAAACTACACTAAGAGTTTTTGAACACTGTATTTTAGAGTGATATGCCCAAAAGTTTTTTTTAAACTGATAGGGGTGTGGGATCAAAAAAAAAAAAAGCTTAGAGGGAGGGCAGCTAGGTGGTGCAGTGGATAGAGCTCTGGCCTTGGAGTCAGGAGAACATGAATTCAAATCTGGCCTCAGACACTTGACACTTACTAACTGTGTGACCCTGGGCAAGTCACTTAACCCTATTGCCTAGCAAACAAAACAAAACAAAACAAAAAAACAAAAACAAAGCAAAACAAAAAAAGCTTAGAGGTTATTGACCTAGACCCCTAAAAGATAGCACAGAGCCTTGCACATAGTATATGTTTAATAAATATTTGTGTAATTAAATCAGTATCAGGGAGGACCCTACTGGGCAAATGACATACACCTTATGACCTGAGGAACCCTGGGAGAGTCACAGAACTAGATCAGAGACTTGCAGGCAACCAGAAGGAATAGAGGAGCCAAAGATAGCTAAGGATGGAGGAGCCTTTACCAGCCTGGGCGATCTCTTGACATGTCCCTTTAGTGTATTCTTTCCACCTCCCCCCTTTCTTTCCCTTTCCTTTCCAGATAGCTTGAACTCCACCCATTTCCAAACCAGACTAGCAGGTCAGCTCCCTTCCAAAAATTCTCTTCCACCAGAGACAGCAGCTTCCATCAGCACCAATTTCTTTTAAGTAAATAAATGATTTAAACTCTCACTGCTGTCTTTTTCAGAATCCACTGCTCAGGACAAACACTTTCCACACACACCATAGTGAGATTGACTATTAGACCAGGGCCCACATGGGGCTATTTGAGGGTCCTTGTCCTTTTCTGAGGTCTTCTGTGCACCTACTTAAAGGTCCCTCTCCAGTAACTTCCAGTTGTATGTCACCTAACTTTCTGATGTTCCTATTTATACTAAATTCTGAATAAGCAGTTGTACCACATGTCCTGAAACATTTCCATCTGCAGTCCCTACCTATAATCATTCCAGTCCTGGCTGGCTCTCACGCCTTTCTATGTCATTCTCTCCCTCTCCTCCCCACTCAGACTTAGATGTAAGAATCAGGATCCTGAACCTTCCCTCTCCCTGGGATTTCCCATATTGACCAAGACTAGGGATAGGTTTGAAGACCCTGTGGTCCCAGGCCCTCCCCACAATCTGAGGCTCTTTCCATTACCACCCACAAGATGGGTTGCAGTGGAGTGGACTGGGATGGAGGGTGGGAGGCCCAAAACTGGCAGCCCTGGCAGGAAGAGCAGCCCTCAACCTCCACATCTCTCCAGTTGGCCCCAGACTCCAACTTTGGTCATGTATGGTGTTCTCAAGCCCAGTGGCCTTTTTCTGGGACCATCTCCTTCACCCACACCTCCCAGCACGTTTCTCCCTCTCCCTCTAACCTTAGGTTCTGTCCAGTCCAGTCACACTGGTTCAGGGAGTGAGGTAGGCCTTGTGAGCATTGATCTCCCAGGATCACATAGGGAGATCACACAGAATCTCACTGTGGAGTGTGGCAGGGGCTGGTGCTCAGGGGATCGCACAAATCGCTTCTGGGTTTTAGGTCTTAACTTTGGCCTTTGTCCTGCTCAGTGCAAGAAAGAGGAGAGGGTTTCCTTATTTCCCCCTGATTTTAGAGTGTGGGTTGACTGGGCTGAAGATGGTCTGGGGAGAGTTTAGAGACTATTTGAGGGGAGAATCCCTTCCCACTCAGGTCCCCTTTCCCCCAGGTGCTCCTTCTCTCTTCCCTCAGAGAAGCCTCCACAAAGCGAATTCCTCCCTCCTTTATTCAACGTTCCCAACCACGCATCTCATTCCTTCACCCCAAACCTGATGTGGCCTCAGCTCCAGCTCTCCCGCGCCGTGGATACTAGTCCGGAGCCAGAGCCGTCTCACCTGCTCCTTTGTGCGCCCCTCGGCTGCTCTCCAGTCCGCTCTGCTCCTCCCAGTGGGGTTCATCTAGTGCCCGCCCCACCGCGCCCTGAAGTCGGGGCCGCGCCCTCCACTCATATTCCCCCCAACTCCGCCCTACCTCGGCTCCAAACCGGAGCCGGGAGTCGAGTGTCGAGTCTGGAACCTGACGGCGGCTGGAGCCACTCTGCATTCTGGAGGCCGGGGAAAAGAGTGGCTCGCAGGTCAGAGGAGGGAAGGGATCTTTCTCGGGGTTCTGTGATACGGTGAACAGTGTTTGACTCCACGGAGGGAGCTCCAAGGGGCTGGCTATTGATCGATGAGTAACGCCGTTCAGCCACGTTTCTGGAGAGCAATGGAAGGCTTCTAGCTCCAGACCCTGGAGCGCCTTTCTGCTTTGCGCAGGGGTTTCGCTCTCATCCTAGGTCTCCCAGGATTAAAAATGGGACCCATAGACAGGCCTCCTTCCTTCACCTTCAATTCTATAGCCCCTTCCCCCCCCCCAGAAAAGATCTCTTCGTTGAGATTTTTTCCCTGTTCCACCCCTAAGGATTTTGAGGGACTGGGGATGTTGAAGATAGGTGTGGACTTGGACCTTGGTAGCTGTCCTGCAGGCATAGCACTTCTCGGCCCAAAGAGGGGTCCCTGAAGCTTAGAGTTGGGGTTACCTTAAACCCAGACCATTTCCATTAGAACATCCTGGGGTCAGCTCTTCCATAGGCACCACACAGAATTACCATTGCCCTGTGGTCCCTATACTTTTGCCTAACCATCTTACATAGACTCCACCCTTTCTTTTATGAACCTTTAGAGACTCTGGGAAGGGTGATTATCTCCTTTCTCAATCCTAATGAAGACCCAGCCCATCATAGAATCTTGAGGGACTGAGTTTGGGATGGGGAGAGCTTCATTTTGAGTGTAGGAGGCAGGGATTTTGAATGGACAATATCTTGGACATGGGTATCTCTTTGGGAAATTTAGCATGCCCTCTCCAGCAGACTCCACTGTCCAACAGATAATTCTTCATGGGCCACAGTTATCCTAAGAACAGATTATGGAGGGTGAGTGCCAGGCTGAGGATTATCCTAGAAGCAGTTGGGATAATAAAAATAAATAAATAATATGGGGGTTATTAATTATTAATAATGGGATGTATGGAAGATTATTGAGTAGGGGAGTATGATGGTCAGTTCTGTGTCTTGGTACTATTGATTTGCCAGCTCTGTGGAAGATGGTTTGGAAAGGAGAGAAACTGGCTATCTGGAGACCAATCAGGTAGTTATTACAATAGTCCAGGGGAGAGGTGATGAGTAACTGAAGTAGGGTAGGGCCATGATGAGTGGAGGGAAGGAGACTGATATGAAAGATGCTTTCTGTGGAGGTAAAATAGAGGACACTTGGCAATTGATTAAATATGTATATCTATAGATCAATATTAGATTGATCAAATTTAGAAGGCAATGCAGAGGGAAGTGGGAAGGGTGACTAAATTTGTTAACCTGTGTAACTGACCAGATGGAATTAATTGCTTTTGACAGAAATAAGGAAGCCTGAAGAAGGCATTGGTTTGGGGGGAAAATATGAGTCCTTGTTTTGGACATATTGAGTTTGAGATGTCTAAGGGACCTCCAAATGGAAATGCTATTTATTATTATCACTGTGGTCATCATCCCTTAAACTTGCATGATACTATTTAACTTTTCAAAATGATTTCACACTCATTATTATATATGATCCTCATAGCACCCTCATGAAGTTGATAGGGTAGGCATTATTTTTATCTCCATTTGATAGATGAGTAAACTGAGATCCAGATAGAAAAGTGTCTCTTTTAAAGTCATACAACTAATTAATGGCAAAAGGTAGGACTAGAACCCAAGTTCCTTGATGTCCAGTCTTGCTATCTCTCAATTCTAGTGCCTTCCCTCTGTTGGTTATTTCCCATTTATCTTGTATGTAGTTTGTTTGTACATAGTTGTTTATGTATTGTCACTCCCATTAGATTGTGAGCTCCCCAAATGCACATACTGTCTTTTGCCTTTCTTTATATCCTCAGCCTTAGCACAGGGCACTTAAAAGTGTAGTGAATGACTAACTGACTCCTTCAGAACTTACTATGAAGAGAACAGGCCTCGTGTAGGATTTTCCAATTAATCCCAACTGTAAATGAGATACCTTTTGTCAGTTGTTTTATGATGGCTGTGGTGGCTTTATTCCGGCTCCCCTGGGGTCACTCATGTCTGGAAAACCCTGGAATTGTCTATGTCCTCCCATCTTTGCCCCTTTGTTTTCCAAAGGTGCCCTGTGTGGGGCCTTCCAGGATATCGGCCCTGCTGTAAATCTGCATTATGAACTGGAAGTTGGCACTGATGTGGACAATCCTGGTGGGTCCATGGGGCCTTGAAGGTGAGTAGCATACTAAGCTGGAGAGAAGCAAGGTATTGAGCATCTTCTAATGAGTTTCCTTTTTTAAATGTGTTACTGATGTTCTTTTCATTTATTAACATCACTATCACTTTCCAACGACTTTGTCCTCCTCCCCACCAGAACCCTCTCTTTTAACAAATAAATACAGTGAAACTAACATATGCCTTATTTCATTCCTGTTGTCCATCTCCTCTTTATCAAGTCAGGGATGTATAATTGACCTTCAAGTCTTTGGAACTAATAGTTGGTCACTGAATTGACCAGAAGTTTGAAGTCTTCCATTTTTCTTTTGCTTTACTTTGCCGTGGGCATCATGTAAACTGTTCTCCTATTCACTTCACTCTATATAAATTTATAAAAATCTTCACAATTATCTCTCAGTTTCTCACATTTGTTATTACTTAGGGCCCAAAAATATTCCATTAAATTCATATACTAAAGTCTGTGCAGCTGTTTTCAAATCAGCAGACATACACTTTGTTTCCAGCTTTTTTTGATACCACAAAATATAATACAAAATAATTTTGCATACATGGAACGTTTCTTTCTTTGAATCCACAGGATATATGACTAGCAGAAGAAAGATTTAAAAGAATATGTATAGCTTAGTGGCTTTTTTTCATAGTTGTAATTTAAAATTATTGTCTAGAATGATTGGACCAATTCACAGTTCCACCAACAGTACATTAGTGCGGCCTTCTTTCCACAGCCTCTCCAATATTTATCATCTAGTCATCTTTGCCAATCTGCTGGCTTTAAGGTGAAACTTCGGAACTATTTTAATGTGCATTTCTCATTATTTTTGATTTGGAATATTTTTTTTCCATGTGGTTGTGATAGCTTGTATTTCCTCTTTTGATAACTGCTTGTTTGTATCCTTCAACTACTTATCCATGAGAGGAATGACTCTTGTCCAGGGGTGGGGAACCTGCAACCTTAAGGCGCCATGTGGCATTCTAGGTCCTTAAGTTCAGCCTTTTGACAGAATCCAAAGACTTCACTTAAGGACCTAGAAGGTACATGTGGCCTTAAGGCTGCAGGTTCCCCACCCCTGCTCTTGTCCCTATAAATTCATACAAATCCTAGTAGGGTCATTATCTAAGATGTCAGAGTTGAAGGTATTCTGGAGTCTCAGGTTCTCATCTCTTTTAGCCAACCTGAAGATGCTTCAATTGCGTTACCTGTCTTGTCTCCTTTATCCCTCCTATTCCTCCTCCATCCTGAAGACTTTACATTCTTCCTTTCATCTCTTTACTTCTAGAATTTGATTCTGGCTTGAGATAGGACAAGAATGACTAAACACAAGTAGGTCAGAAAAGGGTCTGGGGCTCAAAGTGACCTCAAAACTGAAGACAAATCAATTGTAAAAAGTGATTGACAAAAGTTTAACCTACTGGGACATCGTCATGCTACACTCCACCCTGGTTAAATTTTTAACTAGTCTTGCCTACTTACTGAAATGTGGAGAACAGAGGGGAGGCAGATATGTGTGCATATGCATGTATATATACACACATTTATAGGTATATATGTGTAGAGAGAGAGAGAGAGATGCAAAAAAAATTGACATAAACTTGGAGGAACTAGAAAATAAACATTTGAAAGAAGGTTAAAAAAACAAAAAAAAAAGAAAGAAGGTTGAACAGTTGTCTTCAAATCTTTGTAGTGTTATTAAACTAAGGATGGTAATTGGGTAATTTCCATCTCCACCAACAGAATAAGGGGTAGTGGACATAAATTGCTACCAAAAAAATGAGGGGCAGTGGACGTAAGTTGCTACAAAAGAGTATTAGGTTAGAAACAAGGAAGAAATTCCCGACTTAAAGAGGTAGGAAAAACTGGAATGGAAGGAAGGTGATTGAATATGCTCCAGAAAGTGTTTAATATTAAGAGATTTTGTGTTTTGTTTTCATCAGACGCAGAAGGATAGGATTTTGCCACACATACTTCACCAAAACAAAAGTTGAGGCCATTGTCTGGCAGCTCCCTCTCCTCCCCTCCTTCTTATCTCATATTACTAGTATGTCTTCCCCACTATCTCCTGTTTCACTTCTGTAAAGAAGAGGCTTGGGGCAACTAGGTGGTGCAGTGGATAGAGCACTAGCCCTAAAGTCAGGAGGACCTGAGTTCAAATCCAGCCTCAGACCAAATACTTGCCACTTACTAGCTGTGTGACCCTGAGCAAGTCACTTAACCCCAATTGCCTAAAAACTAAAAAACAAAAAAAGAAAAGGCTTTACTTGCCAAGGCCAATCCCTCTACTTGTACCCTTGATCTCACCAGTAGATTATGCCCTCTATCATTCCCACTCTCTAATCTTCAATCTTTCCCTCTCTATTGGCTTGTTTTCTGCTAACTAAACACCTGCCCAAATCTCCCGTCCTGTAAAAGGATCTCATTTGATCTTACTATCACTTTAAGCTATTATCTTATGTCTCCCCTCCCCTCTGATAAGCATCGCTACTAGGTGTTTCTCACTCTCTTCCATACTCTTTGTAGTCCAGCATTTCACCTCAGCATCGGACCGTAGTTGTCCTCTCCAAAGTTACTAATGCTCGTGATTGCTGAATGCAACGGCTTTT